ATATCAAATTGACTCGTAAATATGCGAAAATTACAAATTCTTGAAACGAATCAAGTAAGCAAGAGGATCAGGAGTTCGACCGATCGAAATATTCTAAAACAATGTTCTTCCTGTTTCCCCTTTCTGTTTTCGGAATTTCCCATAAATGAAAAGAATCCTGTCGATGTAAGATCGAGGCCTGAAACCAAAACATACACTTGATTTCTAAACACTTTTGTTTCGTGAATTCTCTTACTCGACTCCGTCTAGAAAAATGTAATTCTTCTGTAATTTATTCCCTCTAAAGACATCTTTTCAAATTTCGTAATACAAACTGCAGCTGTGGTAACATTACTGGCTTTTGTAAATCTACTTGTCGTTCAGCGAAAATCGAGACGTAATTCATGGTAATTTTTGCAGTGGATGCAGTTTAACCTATGTCGGCTTTGTTAATCTTTCATAATTCAAAATGCTCTAAGACATATTAAATAATTCGTTTTGCACAAAAAAGTTCTAATTAGCGGTGTTTTGTATCTCAAATCTATTAATGCCATATTTGGAAACTTACATTTATCACTGAGCCATATAGGATATGTGTAACGTTTTCGAAAGAGACGATGAGAGGATAATTTAGTCTATTTTCACGGACACACAAAAAATAGCAGATGTTTTTCTTCGGTTAGCTATTCATTCTTTGGATCAACTGAGACAATTTGGCTGTGTCAAATCAATTTAATCATAGCTATGTTTAACTATGAATATAGTGTCATTAACGAGCAGAGAGGTAGATTGAGGAACTGAATAAGAATTACATTTTGTAATTAACTTATAACTATAATTGTACAGGGCAAAATTTGTCGCTTAAAACTTGACAAGCATAAAGAAAATAAAATGTAATAAGCGTGAAAATATATGCTAGCGGTGAGGAGAGAATTCTTGATTTTTGTCTGCGGTTCATTTCTTAATTGTTGTTTGCCAAACATATAAGGGATTTTTTTTTTTGGTTTATCTTTTAAGTGTTCTCTTCTTGAACTGAAAGCTTTTAAAATTGGATTTTTAAGAGGTATCCAGGATATACATGGAGTTTATTCAAAACATCGACGTTATCATGCTACATACACCTGCTGTTAAATGTTTGGTGCTTACTGACTAACGGCAACCATTCAAAAATGGAATAAACATTCCCTGGAGACGCTTTAAGCTAACGAGCTAACGTTTCGTCGAATAAACTGACGTGATAGTTGAAAATCGGACTGTATCGAAATTTACACCCTATGGTAGATTACATAGCCTTAGCTTCGATTTATTCAGGACGACAGGTCTTTCTTTCAATTTCAGATATTTTAAAGGAAATATCAGTGTAGGAGGATGGCAGGTGCGGAACAAAAACATGATTAATTTGAAATGAAAGCATTTAATCTAAACGGGATTATTCTTCCATTTGATGGTTCTGTGAACGATATGTCTGACTGACTTTCTCGACGTTTAAATATATATTCTGTTTATATTCTCCAACGTAATCATTTGCATGCACCCAACAGGCAATTTATTCTCCTTGTGAGAGCTTCCAACTGGGATTCCAGTCTGAGTGCAACATTCATATGGAAACAGAATAAACCGCTGAGTTTGTATTCGTTGGTAACGGCAATGAAGGTTGATTGGAATGAATGTATTTGGTAGCGGTAATTCGATGTTCTTTATAGTACTTTGAGCCAACGAATAAATAGGATAACAGGTGAAAATATATATGTGAATTCCACATCTTACTAATAATTTTATGATTGAATCGTCGAGCTGAATTATACCATGGCTTGTAGCTGGCCTAACCATCAAGTGATTCAAAATCATCTTCCTTTTGTAAAATATTTGATAATCTTCTCCTGTTGAAAATATATTCTTTGTGCTGCTGTCAAAAATCTAACCCACTCTAACGCCAGTCAGTTTCCTGGTGTACAGTCTAACCTCTTAATGACTAATCCTGTACAAAAAATCAATCTAACAGACCTTTATAAGTTCCATGTACATGCGGCAGTTAGGTAATGATTTATTTTTTTTAGACTTTGAAGAAATAAGAAGAACACTCTATTGCAACTTCCGGAGTGCAACAAGGAATTTCTCAGGTTTCACATTAAGCGTGGAATTTTACAAAAGGAGGAAAAATGGTGAAAAGCCACGATGCCTCCCTTTTAGCTCAATTTACTCCACGTTTGAATTATAATGGAGGGTCGTTCTGCTGCTGTATTTCATCCAAGAAAAGTGAAAAACTGCACCGTGTTCATTTAGACTCTAAACGTAATATGTTTCGAAAAGTAAAATTGTTTGGGGAACCTCTTTCAGGGGCAGTTTCACAAAAACTCGCCTTAATCCTGCACGGACGGAGTGAGCGATTTCCCTTCCTCGCGCTATATTGTTTCTCTGACGCAATTTACTGCATTATGAGCGATGTAAGTTCAAGTTTAAGCTCTTAGTGGCCGTTTCTCCGCCCTAAAAAGTGCGAACATTTCCGTGAGACTGTGTCGTGGAGTTTGCGCAGTAGTAGTGTTTAAAGGCTAGGAAAATAAATGATGCCAAACAAAGAAGCCTCGTGGCTCTCATTGAGCAAGTAAAGGAGAAAAGTAATCAAGGCCCTGTATTATCATGAGGTAATTTTCATCGACACTGAGAGGACTCACTAACTTTACATACTTCGACAAGCAAGCTCATGATATGACCTTCACTGCGTTACACATATTGCCTCGAAGCTTTTGATCTACTTTACATTTTGGAAGAACAATTAGCGCAGGAGGGGGGGGATTCAAGGGTCGGTTTATTCGACTTTCAAAGGATACCGCTATTAATCGTGCAAAAAACATCGCAATTTATCGATCGACACTCATACCTGGAGCACAATCGTGTATCCAGATAGCATATCAACAGTAATCGAAGAGATAGTCAAGCAATGCTATACAATTTTTCACCACTGAAAAGTGTTTTCGGAAAAATTTCGGGATTAAAATACAGACGCTGCAGGTCATTATCAGGTCTATCAATCATATATACTTTGTTGAAGGTATATAATTATTTGAAGTCCTGGGATTCTCGAGCAAAATTATGTTTATGTTAATTCTTTGTAAGAAATCTGACTATATTTCAGTTCCCCAGATAAGTGATGATACCTGCTCTTGTCGCGAGAATTTCAGTCTGAGAGTGAAAAATGTTTGAAACTTTATTTGTAATTAACAAAAATCAGTTCCAAGGCAAAATTGCACTTGAGCATTCTTTTGAGAAATTCCTCACCCTCTTACAATTTGAAACCTTGTCAAGTAAAATTTGAAATTACTTATGGCGCAAAGGCGGCGGGTCGAAACAAAACATTAACGGAGAACTAACTCAAGAATATTGATTGAAGATCCACCCCTGCACTAATCCTTTAGAAAAGGTTGCTGTAAATAATGAATCAACATATTGCTGTTTGGGGAAAATCTCTTATTTAGACAAAATGTCTCAGTTTTGAGGGTTATTAATAATTTCTCAGATCAAACCTGAACTCATGAGTGCTCAGTTCTACGTCAAAAGAAAACAAACAAGTCTACAGAAGTTTTATTTAAGTTATAAACGCAGCTGTCGATCAACGAGAGATGTTTAAGAGTCATTTGCTTGGGAACCGAATGATTCCGGAATTGGATGCTCTTCCACAGAACTAAACAGACCTTGTTGGTGAGTTAGCTCATTCGAGGGGTGAAACAGTTAAAAGAATTTCCTATTTCTTATTACTTAGATTGTGATAACAATTTCATTACTCTGTCACTATTTTGCCACAACATTTTGTGAGAAGACAATTTCGATATGTACAGCTGGGTTTTAGTTGAATATTATAGATTTCTGGACGTAACATAAAAAATATCTCTTGAATCCTGCCGAACGTACATGGTAAACTCATTATGCAAATTGCACGAAAATAACTAGCAAGAATTAGCAGCAGGCTGTGAATCATAATTCATGCAACTTACACGTTACGAATATAACTTTAGTTTCTGTAATAATTATACTTCCTTTGGTACCAGTTTGCTGTTTTTAGACTTCGAAAAAATATGTGTTTTAGATTACCGATTTTTAAGCAGGTTGGCTTGATTGCTGATCGTGATTGGACAGGCACTTACACAAATTTTTCAAGATACTTTCGTATACATGACCCCATAGGTTTTGCGAGAGCCTAAAATTGATGAAATACAGGTAATTTAGAATGAAATTTAATTGCTCCTCAATCAAAAATATCTCAGTTTGTATTAAGAAAACTACCTACGCTACCCATTGAGAATATTTAAGTGAAAGTGATGCATTCTTTGCTTGATTGAGAACAAAAATAAAAAGATAGATTGCGGGTGAAGTAAAACTAATGAACTATTCCAAAAGAGGTCCCTTTATTTTTTCTTTAGTGAGGGCAGGTGGTCTTAGCTTTGTAGAAGGCCTTAGTTGTGGCAAATCAAAAACAAAAATCTTCGGATAAAAAAAATAAATATTTGATGATGGCCTTATTGACTTCAAGCTGCATAATATGACAAATATTAATCACACACTTGTCTTATCCTACGTATCTACTTGTCAGATATCTCTGTGAAGAGGTCATCTTATGCCGACAAAATAAATTGAACTTGAACTTTGTTTACTTAATATTTAATATCTCCAACCATAACCCCAGGCTATTATTAAGATTTTTTTCACTGCTGTGACTCCTTTAGGTGAATAAAATCCAAGAATTTTTTTCTGATTCAATGATTGGTGACTGAAAATATCCTAGTGGGAAAAACTGCATGGCGGACGCGCTATTTGTAAATTGTGTTTTTGTACACTTGGAGGGATGCACAAAAAGATAAAAATGTGGTTCCGCTTTGAACAATAGTGTTTACAAATAGGGCTTTTATGCTTTAACTCCAAAGCAATTTTAGGTATAGACTGACGCCTATTCATTCGACCACACGCAAATAAATAATTTTAACGTCGCGCGGAAGGTTAGACTAGAAGATTCGAAACAGTTTGGAGACCAACTGTTAAAGCAACCAGCGATCAAGCAACATTGTAAGTCTCGGTAATAGTTTCACACGGTTTCTTTTACCTTGGTGATTTTAGCAGAACTAAAAGATACCACGGCACTGGTAAGTACAGATTATGTTGTTCAATCGTACACTGCTGTGTCCCGGTAGAACGCTAATATTATTTGGGAGAAAAAAGTTTTACACAGCAACCGTGGTATTTGGGAGAAAAAAGTTTTACACAGCAACCGTGGTAAATGTACTTCATCCTATGCACCCAGTGAATAATTTTTATCTTTTCTATTATATTTTACGATTTACAAAATCGCCTAAAACTGCCTCATTCAAATAAAACAAACCCCCCCAAAAAAAACTCAGTAGAACTTTTTCTAAAGATAAAAGAAAAACAAATTACAAAAAGTTACTTCAAAGCCCCCAATCGGGACCTTTCAATTTTTCGTTGATTTGAATAACAGTTATTTCACAGACTTACTTTCATGAATGACTAACAAAATTCAACATTTTGAGATACCAGCTTTAACATAGCTGTTATGACGATGAAATTACTGCTTTCTTCTCAAATATCAAATAAAATATATAAGAAATGATAAAGTACGACGAAAATTGGACTGCATATGGAGTTCCATTAGCAATGTACATATAATTCAAAATCATAAGAGATATTTGGTAAGTTAAATAATTAAAAACGTTTTAGATCTGCAATTTTTCGTCATAATTTGTATATCTAATGTATTGGCCAAGAAGTTAGCATTTGTATTTACTGTCCATATCAGACAATCCGAAATGGCTCTTGACAGGAGCAAATATTTTAAGGTCATGATTTTTGACAGATTTAATTGAATTGAGAATCTACTGTCACGTTATTTGCTCGTTGTTTTGACTGCTGTCGTGTTTTAACCGTTTCTGTTCATTTTACTATGACAAGGAGAATAGCTGAAAGACAAAGGCAATAAAAGGCGTATAAAAAAACACATATTACTTCTGCTAAGTTCGGGTGACATTATTTCCTTAACCGCTTTGAAGCAATCCTTAATTAAAAATAGACTCTTCATATTTTAAGATAATCGCATTCCAATATCTGTGATATGTTCTAAAAAAAAAGACCAATGTTTATCACAAATTTGTAGTGGAGTGTAGAAATTTAAAAATTCAGATTTTACGTTTTTTGTATTGTAATTTTTCTAAGGAAACACCTGTGTTATTATTCAGTCTAGATTTTGCATCCTCTTTTTATATATTTTATCTTTAACGTTTTATTGGGTAATGGTACTACCACTGTTTCCTTACATTGATTTTGTTACGTTTTCATTCCTCAGAATGTCAAAACATCTGCTACAATGGGAAGCATTTATCTTTACTACTTTTGTAGTCATGCGTAAGAACATAGTCTGTTAGGCATGCTTCGAAAAAAAATATTGGGTATGGTCTAGAAAATACGTAACGTGAGACATATTTCAGAATGTTTTCAAGAGTATATTTTCCTTTATTAAAATTTATTTTGCTCTATGTTTTGGGAAACAACATGATAATTTTAGATCTTCATTATTGTTATCATTATTATCGTTATTATTATTATCATTATCCTTATTATCTCTACATGTTATCACTGCCACTATTAACATCATTAGTATTATCAAGCCACTTTTTCCTAGACTGTCCAAAATTTCTCTGATAAGGGATGCCAAATATCTCACTAAGCACAGCTCCTTTTCAAGTTATGTTACTCGGCTGCACGCATAAATTAATGCCGTGAATGAAGTTTGGCTGAATATTTGTCTTGTATGGCAACGCTCTGAAGACACACGCCGAGATCTTTTGTTACCTTAGCGTCATTTACTAAATTCAAATGATATGCATTGATTCTTGTATTTCCATCACAGTAACTAATTAGTTTGCACCTTCACTTTGTTCTTGTTTGATCAAAAATGTGCATGACTGAAGCAAATATGGCCCTCTTTGACTTACTGTGCTCTACACTTCCTGAGGAATTTTGTTTTTAAAGATTTAACACGTTGAATGTGTTAACAATTATTTGAGCGTTTCGAAAGATTAGTATTATTAATGAATGCATATTGGAAGCCAAACATCCGTAACAGGCTGCTCTAAAGAAAACTTGATCAGAAATGGTAAGTAGCAAATGCGTATTCTTTCATTTGAGTTAGGGCACGTAGCTTAGAGAGTAGAAAACCGACTTTGACTTTGCTTGATATTCTTTCAAGCGAAAAGGACGAAAGTTATTAGCTGAATTGCAAACATGCTCGCCTCTCATGTTATTCCTCTAATTTGTGCGTTTCGTTTCTTCTTTTTTTTTCTAAATCTGATTTTTAAATTGGCACGGCTTTGATTACAAACAGATTCCAACGCTAGTTGACTGAAGAGAGCATTTCAGTCATTCATGACCTGAAGAAAAAAGATTTGAATCGTCAAACTGTTTGTAGCGGTACGATGGTCAAGGGTTGCTTAAATTTCACCCAGAAAGGTTTATCCATGTTCGATAAATGTCTTACGCGTAAAGCTGCCCATGCATGAACAGGCATTAATGTGAAGAAAAAAGAAAGGAAAAGAAAAGAAAAAAAACTTTACAACCTGTAAAAAAAGGTCCGATAAAAGCTAAGAAATTACAAACCTGGAAATGATTAGCGGGCGATTCCGATCGAAAAATATGTCTGAGTAACACCCTAGTTCTGAGCGGCTTATAGCACTTCCACTGAACTGTATGCGTCACCTCATTTAGCGGCCGTTACTTCCCCTGCTCCGGTGGTTCATAGCCAGATTTTCAACACTGCATCGAGACGTTCATCTAACTCTCAGCTTTCTAGCGTATTCATTATGCAATCATTTGCGGATGAACTGAGCTTATGCTTTGGAGAATGCTACCATACCACTTTACACCACTCCTCTTTATCAATTAAGCTTGTTTCTTATTTAAACAAATCCGTTCGTCGGCGGATATCTGGTTAAGAATTGATTAAACATGTAAAATTAAGATTCCTTTTCTATCAAATGTTTTATTGATCTTAGACAATACAGCCGACGGTTAACTCTCTAATTAATTTCCTCTCCAAATATATCTCAACAAAGATCTCCTCGAATAAGTGATTAAATTTGGGTTTAAAGATTTCAATGACCGCCCTTAAGGAGATTGAAGTGTTGAAATAATGATACGGTCAATCTTATTATATTAACAATTGAGAATTTTCCAGATCGTCGATAAGCAGTCTGTTGTTGTCAGGAAACGCATAAAGCTTTGCATAAGAAAAATAGCATAAAAATAGCCATGAAGATTGTGAGAGAGGTGTAAATATAAAGTAGATTGAAAGACATGTCAGTCCAAGACACGAGACTGATCAAAGGTAAATGAATATGCGCTATGATTGCGCAATAAATGCGCAAACTAATTTTCCGCTTATCATACAACCACGACTTTCGTCAAATTGGTAGTCCCTAAGCCATTCGATTTTTGCCTTTTAATCTGAATTCGCTTTGTTGATCTACTAAAGATTTTTCAAAGAAAAGAGACAGGGGAGGGGAGCAAAGAGTTGGCTCACATCACGACGTTTAGAAAACGAAATATGAATTCAAAAGCCTGAGGAGGATGATGTCAATATAAGTATAGCTTGGGATGAAGTACTGTTTAAGTTATCAAATCATGGATAACAAGTAAAAAAGTCACTGATTTATGGAAGTCATACTGGATGAGGCATTGAGCAAAATCACCCTGTCGGCTAATGAGAAACTGAAATTTGTTTCGTATAGCGCTTAAAACACTGAGTAGGATAAGGAGTTGCTTCGCAACGCTGCGACTCGAGCCAAACATGTCACACAAATTTTAAAATGCTTGTTCTTATTTCGAGGGTTAGTGTCAGGGTTTCTCCCTGGGTTCCCAAATTCACCCCCTCCCTCCTCCCCCCCCTCCTCTCCCCCTCCCTGCCTCTCATGGATATAAAACCGAAAAACAAAGACTTAAGCAAAAAAAAAAACATAAACAAAACGAAATGAACTTTCCAAATTCGGAGTTGATATGGAAAAAGGGAATGAAGAGCAAACTCGTTCAATTTCCTACCGAAATCGAATTTAACGGATATAATCGTTTCACGGATATAAATATGCACTTATACGTTTAGCTGGCGACTCAACCGCCTCTCATGTTCGCTTTCTTTCCTTGTTCGCATTTTAATCTTGATCTTGTTTTCTAGACAATGTTTGCTTAAGGTTTCTCTGCTTCATGTTAACTTAGAAATGGTTTTTAATTTTTGTCAGTCAAAAGATGGTTTCGACAGACAGTACTGTATTTAGTCAGCTACTGTCTCGCTCCTAGGGTCTTGGCAACCTTTCATCACTAAGCTGATTACATCTGCCTTGTGGTTTGCGTGTGATATTGTTTGCCGTTGGAAAAAGTCAGGAAACGACTAGTAGTTTTTATATTGATTCCTTAATCCTTTTTACGATAGACATGTAGGAAAACGAGCAAATTGTGAGGCTTTTCTTAGAGGACGCTTTGTCGTAAGAAGGTTTATTCACCCATCACGAAAAGATACCGAAACTAATTATTTTTCGTGGTATCAATGCATTTTTGTCCTTGTCCTTTTTGCCGTCATCAGACAATAGTGAACTCAAGTCAGTGTCAACAATTTAGCAATTAAAGTGGTCAAATGACTGAATTTATGTCTCTACAAGACAAACTTTAGACTTTGGGATGGAAAACTGTTTGCTTAACTATTCCCTCAATGTTATCTTTTTTTCTCTGTCATAATTGTTTTGCATATTTTAAATTCAGCGATGTATAGTCGTACGAAATTGCGGAAATCGCGTCACCATTATTCAAGCCGTGAATGAGTAATTCCAAAAATTTATAAAATGATCAGTTTTCATGATATATGCTCCGAAAGGATAATATTCGACAGCCAGTCAGGGTAAGTTTGGATGCGCCTCATAAGAAACAAAAGTAACAGATTTTGGAGGTGAAACAGAGAACTATTCGCTCGTAGTTAGCGATAAATATTCGGAATGTTGTTTTTTTTCCCCAGCGCAAGTCCTATTGTGAGTTCTAGCTAGAGATGTGTACTTCGCTAAAAATGCTTCAATTCTATGACTCTTGCTTGTTTGAAGAAATGAAATAAGTGATTACTGCGCGAGGTAATTCCATGGAAAAACAACTCCATTCATAAGTGGACCAAAGTAATTCGATTTTTTTTCAGTCAGAATATCTCCTTTCCGCTCACACTTCCATTGGACGACAATAATTAACCAGGCAACTGAGTTTTACCAAGAGATTACTAAAAATAATGCTGTGGGTATAGGAACATTACTAACAACCCAAATGAGAGGGAGTCAGATTACCATTGCGGAAAAAGCCAAAAAATTCAATTCAATTTTTTGAATGCTTGTTTGCTTCTTTGTCTGTTTTTGAACCATAGAAAAAAAATAAACTTCGTCGAATCGAACGTGACTTTTAAGTGAACCTGGTAATGTTGTCATGCACAGAATCAGTTGTTAACATAGCAACGAATGAGTAATTGATTCATTCACGCATTTTCAATATTACCTTTTTCCCTTTTAGTGGTAAACCATGGAATATCAAATTATAATTTAAAAAAATGTGTAGTATTTCTTCAAGTTACTTAAGGATAGAGAAAATCAAGAAAAATTTAGTATTTTATCAGCTATGTTCTTCTTTAAGTTTCAATCCGGAGGTAAATGATAACTTGACTTCATCGCAAAGTTTCCTCGGCTAAAAATGATTGTTTGTTTTGAAGATATTAACGATTATAATAAGTCCCATTACTAAGAATTTTACCTTCATTTTGCCAAACAGTAATTAACACAATAGGTTAGGCAATTTAAATAGTTTAAGAAACACCATCGTAGACAATTAAATATTCCCACACGCTACTTTCTCATTTAAATCATTTTCTCTCAGCGGCTTGCTTTTGTGCCAAAGTGTCGATTGCGCAAGAAAGTGAGAGATGATTCCAACAGCGTTAATTTTTTTTGCTTGTCTTTGCCCCAAACTGCTTGTTTGAATGGTACTGTCAAGTTCTAATTTTTCTTTTCCTTCTATTTTTGCGACCTAGAAACCGGTAAGTTATCACCTCAAAGAAAACTTAAATATTTTCTCCACAAAAGGGTGCAATGTAGAATTAACATGATTTTTTTTCTTAAGTCAGGGTTTTAATAATCTAGTTAAATACAGCTTAAATCCTGCTTTAGTAGAATCCTCCAGGAGGCCGGGTTAACAAGTATGTAGTGAATGATAACATGTTACTGTTGTGCGCCAAAGTCAGAATTTGACAGCAAGCAAATGATTGCAGCTTTATCCCGTGAATGGTACAGAAGGAAAAATATCGATATATCCTGATATATGCACTTGCTTATATGCATTAATTTATCATTCAACGGAGTAGTTACTGATCAAGGATGCTTTACACGTACTCAATGTCATAACGGAAGCTACTTTTGCTGGGCGTCTTAATAATAATTTTGTAACCGAAATTAAATTTGTCATGAAAAGTTTATTTCGCGGCTATATTTTATACTTCCTTGATTTTTCCGCACGCACAGTTTTTTTGAGTCGATTTATCTGATTTTTATTGTTGTCATTTGTAGTTCGTCTACAAAGCGAGGTTCATCAAAATGAACAACTCCTCCATCTCCACTCAGGGAAATGAGAAAGAACCAAACATGAAGTTATCAGAATTAATGGCGTGGAGTTCTGCGTATGGATTTGTCGATGTTGTCATCCTTGTTGGCAATGTCCTTACCCTCACCGTTTTTTCTACAAACAAGAAGCTTCTTCGCATGCGTGCAAATTACTTCCTGATAAATCTGGCACTAGCGGATATGATGGTTGGTACGTTCGCTATACCCATGTACCTTTACCACTTAATTGCGGCATGGGAAAAGGGTCACAGCGTTTGGATGCAATATAGTTACAAGATTTACAAGGTGGTCGATGTTTTTGTTGGCTGCGCCTCCATATTTACCCTCACTGTTATAGCCTTGGAGCGAGCATTCTCAGTTTGTTTGCCTCATGTTCATCGTCACGTCAGAAACAACAGCTACTATGGACTTCTTGGCCTAATATGGCTGTTGTCTATTCTGGTCTCTTGTTTGCGATTCCTTTTTGAGGAAAAACTCCTCTCACTGCCGTTTTTTTTCTACTTCATGTTGGTTTCCTTTGCCGTCGCCCTCTCGATAATTTGCGTATCTTATGTGGTAATATGGTTCAAAATGAAATTTCGTTTCGCCAGGAGAGACAGCGTACATAAGCGGTCCGGTGAACATGACAAACGACTCGCTGTAATACTGTCTACAGTAACTGTTGTGTTTGTTCTCACCTGGATGCCATTTCAAGTCATAAACATTGTAGCATTTTTCTGCATGTCTTGCCAGAAAATGCCCAACGAGATCGCTTACTTTGCAAAGTTTTTGCACTATGGTAACTCATGCGTCAATCCTATTATTTACTCATTCTTGGTACCTGAGTTTAGGAAGACAGTTGTCAAAATTTGCAGCAAAATAAGAGCTTAATTTACATTGAAAGTTGAAATGAATAATACATAAAACTTAGTAATCGCGAAGCAATTTTTCAATTTTGCCGATATATATTTCCAGTTCCTGTCTGAAGATAAAGGGTATTGCAGTCTGGTACATGCAAACTATTGTAGGGGTGATATTTTAGTCAGTGAAACCACCAGTTCTAAACTAGACTCGACTCATGCTAGTTAGACGAAAAGTATTGAATGTCCGTCTATTATTTTAACAGCGTGAATTCCATCAATTTTCATAGCTGGAGAAAAGTTAACATTATCGATAATGAAAAAAATCATATCATAATTTCTTATGGTAGCCTACCTGCTGATTATTAAAATAAATTTGGAATGATATTTGGATGGAGCCTTCGGCAGTGTCCTCTGGTTTTTATTGCTTGTCTGTGGAAAGGTTATTGCCACAGATATATATGCAGAGTATTCAAAAACAAGACGGCCAAATAAGAAGCCTCTTATCAACAGACACTTATCAAAGAAATAATTTTTAGACCAACCTTTCTGATTAACTAAGTTTTGTGTTTCTCTTGCCTAAATGTGGTTTCGAGTTACCGCTACCAATGTTTTAAATGGTTTGTTATCAATAGCTGAGACGGTAAAGAATTAAGCAGAAAACCGCGATTCGTTAACAATTATTTGGGATAGTTTTTAACAAAACGATTCCCAGACATCACTTCTATGTCAATTGCTATAGAATGTCGAGGAAGGTTGGCCGAAGTTGATGACTTAGGGTCTTTTTAAATGGTCTCAAATACCTGAGATTACCCCCCCTTCCCCCCCCATAATTACATTTGCTTCCCCTCTTTCCTTGAAAATATTCAACCACCAAAAATGGCGCACTCGCCCGAGGGGGGAGGGGGGGGGGAGAGACTATTCGGCAGAGCAAGCTGTCTCGCCTCAGCAGGTAGGGCAACCCTATCAGGCGGGACAACTTTTCCTCATATACGAAACATTTCTGCTCGCCGGCCCGAGCCAGTCTTAGCAGAGACATCAGCGGAAGACTGAGTGAAAGGAGAGCTGTTACAACCCACAATTCCATATAAACGCGCTGTAAAGTTGTCTCACATTGTTTTTATTTCCCCTCATGGAAACAGGTAACGACTCTCTTTAGTTTAGTTAGAATGATTTGGTGTATTTTCATTTGGCAATAAAATGAAATAGCCGTTTCGTGAAGATTCAAAATTTTTTCAAAGATTAAATTTAAGAAACTCAAGAAAAATAATATGTTTCGACAGGTCATGTAATAAGATAGGTTAAGGGGACCAAAACTTGTGTTCTTTTAAACATGCTGGGGCCTATTACGTGTGGAGAAAACTTATTGAATATTTTGGCTGTCCTAAAAGCATTGCATTGAGGTTAAGACAACGGTTGCGTGGCTGCAGCTTAGTATTTTTCTCCTTCCACTTTTTTTCTTTATCATTATCACACTTTTATTTATCCGTCTTAGATCCAACGAAACATGGTAACGCAAGCTGGCATTCGTAGGATCCTTTCCCACCCCTCCCATCTATTCTCGATATAATGTTTTTACACACCATTGACGCCTTCTTATCTTAAAAATACATAAAATTAACATTTCAAAAATGCTTAAATAAACAAATTTTAGACGCCTACGTCGCCTTCACGGATAGCATGGTTTCAAGAATTCCTGCAAAATGCCAGAAATGACCTTTATACCGACGAAGAATTGCATCTCAGGTGAAACAAGAGATATTTATTGTTTCAGAAGGTTATGTGAGTGCCGTACAAGTCGACCTATTATACTAGTTGCCAAATTTGAGACTACATGCTGCTTTGTTGTTCATTGAAATACCTCTCAGGGTTCTGAATGATCACGCACTTGCTAATTTATTAACAAACAATCTACAGATGCTCATCGAAAATTTGCTGGACATTCTTTGAATTGCGAAGGCCGATGATCAAAACACTCAAGTCACGGATATTGCCGAACGTGTAAAATGCTCTAAAAGCGAGGTAAGCAGAAAATACCGAATGTTCCGTTCAAGTTCACTTGATAAGCAATTGTCACCCATGTAATGAGTTGTGAGCGACAAAATTACGCTGGCTCTAATACAATCGTGTAGTAAGTCTTACATTTACACTAAACTTACGCCTCGCTAATCATGTCATCTCTAGTATAATTCCTGCAAACCAAGAAATTCCTTTGACGCGGAACGTTTTACATGGCTAAACAACGCCAACGACGGAATCCAAATATGTCACATAAGGAGTCGGAACTTCATACAGTTTATTTCGCCTACCAAATGTTTCAAGAATTTCACTTATCACGTTCGAAAAGATAATCTACCTGCGGCATTTTGCTCAACGATTAAGAAGTAATCCTAAACAAAAGTAGATTTGGACCGGTTGTCTTGACAAGCTCTTCAATTAGTGCGTCACGGTTTATGTTTGAGTATCTTTGTTTTGACAAGGGTGAGGTGAGGTACTGTAAGGCTCCGAACTCGACGGAAATAATATCAAAGGTTAACTGTTTGCCACCCAGATCTTTAAATCACGAGCCTCTTTTAGTACAAACAGATAGTTTTCCACACCAATTTCAGAAATGTCCTATCTTGTCTTAAAAAATCCATTTCCTCATGTACAAATTGTTGACATCACTTAATTTATCGCAAGTAAAGTTGCAGTTTCAAATTTCCTCAAAGCCTTTGTTTTAAGCTTTCGTTAGCGCTGCGACCAAGACTTGTAGCAACTGAAAATTCTAGCAAGCTTCTCCTTGCAATAAGATTGTGGATGTTCAACACCTCTCGGTCATTTTTAGTTAATTTTCTCCATTTTGACGATTTTATATTATGAAAATGTCATATCGTGGTTTGCCACAAGCTGAAAGTAAATCTGTAAGTCACAAGTAACGGCTCATGATATCGTCACGTACGCGTAACACAGTCAGTATAAGACGTAATGAATTACGGAATCAGTGGACAGCCGCTGCACAGTGTGAGTTCAAACTGATTAAGTTAGTCGCCAGATCAGCAACAGTAAAGCAGTTTGAACGGAATGTGTAAGCAAGTTTAGGAGATTATTATTCACTTTTTTGGAAGGAAGAGAGGAGAACTTGACCAGGTCATCGACGTCAAAGAGTGTAATGTTCTTAGTCGAGCAATACAAGGAAAAACGTAGGGAGTAACTTGGAAGGTGATTTTTCGCCGCTCGGTTATATCATCTCACACCTGCTTAGTTAAGACGCCAAAAAAATGAAAGGAAAATCTTCGCTTGTGCCTTCATCGTAGTACTGCAACGACAGACCGAAGAGTTGATGTGATGATTTCTTACTAACGAGCGTGAGGACAGTTTTCTTGGGAATGTTAGCACGAGGTCGAGGCAATATGGGGCGAGTGCATCAGGGTCCATGCTAAACGAGATTGAGGGGCTGATGTTCCATACAAGGCTCACAAAAGCCCATGTATATAACAGTAAATGGTGGCGAATGCACTTCCGGGCACTTGAAGTCGAGGGGCTTCCGTAATGACGTATTTTCTATGACGCACGCAGATTTACATAGGGTTATTTCATGTGGAGTGTGAGCAAGCCTTAAAGAACTATTAAGGACGTCCGAAATGAAATTTGTCGAAAGATCCAATGACCGTAGGCTTTGTTGAAATCTCATGAAGGTTTTTGTCGCGTATGTTCTGAACAAAATTCAGGTTGGCAAGGTGCCCCATCTCGAAAACAGGTAGGCTGTCAAATCTTTCACTAGTCACGATATTAAATTTCATGAAGCAGAGAAGAATTTCGTATTTGTGTTTACTCGTTTGTCTTTCTAAAATCGCCCATGGTTCCCTGGTTTTCGTCTGCGCCTGTTTCGATCTCAACATAGAGAAGTTTTGAGATCTTAAGGATAAATGTATTTGTCACGGAAAATTCGTCTTCGTATTAAGCTTTTTTAAATATCAATGTTCAGGCAGATTATTTGCGACAAATGAGAGTATCTGTGATTTCATTTTAAAAATAAATAATATATAGTTATAGCCGCTTTCGATGAAATGATCTAACTGACAAAATTCCGACCAAGAAAGAATTGACTCTACTTAAGACTACTTTGCCAATTAAAAAAAATATATTCCATGGCACACGATGTGCAGGCGGGTGTCACTAGTGTTCTTACCACGTATCCTGTGATTTATTACTGAACCGACGCATGGGACAACTATTTCATTTACATAATAATGAAGCAAAAGGTTTTCAATGGTGACTTCGTCTATGCATTTGTCCTACAATCGATCGTTAGTAAGAATCATCTAAACTTGTATAAAATTAGTAAAGCAATATTTTATAGAACGAATGTCTGTTTTCTATGGGTTTACCAGTGCAATAGACGGTAGGACTTTGACCAATCAGGGTGCTCGTAGTTTCTCAGTTTTTTGATAGTATTTTAATTATGACATGATTTACAGAGCCCAAAAGAAAGTACCTTTACCTGTTTATTGCACCCGCAAGTATGGATCCTTTTAGATAAAATATTTGAAATTACCCCCACATTATCATGACCACCTTCCTCGTCCAGGGACCCCCAACCGAAGGGCATGACCAATACGCTGGTGAATACTTCGTTCTCTTAACTCTAGTTCCCTCGTGGGGCGGAAGGTAGAGAGACCCTGACTATTCTTAAAAGGTGGTTTTACAACCTCTTATCCCATTCCCTTGCACTGAATCTCTCCTGGGCCCATTCAATGCAACTTCAGGACATAAGTAGGTATGTAAATGAAACGTATTGAGCAGCAAAGCAAGTTCACTTATCCAGTATATTGCAACATGATCTCACCTCGAGCAACTAAAACGTTCCTTAAAACATTAACAGTTGACTGATGGTCTTGTTTTATGCTTTATTCCACCAGGACAAAACGCCACCATCTTAATGAACAACTCTTCTTCACAACATGAAGGTAATGAACAAGCAGCTGGTTCGCTGGTGGCGTGGAGCTTAGCATACGGATTGCTGGATGTCGTCGTAATACTTGGGAATGTCATAACGCTCCTTGTATTCTTTAGGAATAAAAAACTTTTGCGCACACGCGCAAATTACTTCCTAATAAATCTAGCTATAGCTGATATGATGGTTGGTACATTCGCCATACCCATGTACGTCTATCATTTGATTTCCGCGTTGTATAATGGTGAAGGTGTCTGGAAACAGTTCAGTTCTAAGATTTATACGGCAGTTGATGTTTTTGTCGGTTGTGCTTCAATTTACACATTAACATTCATCGCCTTGGAACGAGCATTCTCTGTTTGTTTACCTCAGATTCATCGCCATGCAAGACTAAAGACTTATTATGGACTTCTAGGCTTGATATGGCTGCTGTCTATTTTGGTATCCTGTTTGCGGTTTCTGTATGAGACAGACCTCCTTAAATTGAAATTTTTCTTCTATGTTATGCTGGTTTTATTCTCTATCGCCCTCTTGATAATCTGTATCTCTTACGCTGTAATATGGTTCAAAATGAAGTTCCGGTTCGCCAATAGAGAGGGAAACAAACGTAAGAGGGAACAGGACAAGCGACTCGCCATTTTGCTGTTTATAGTGACTGTGGTGTTCGGTCTCACGTGGATGCCATTTCAAATCATAAATATTTTGGCGTTTTTCTGCTACCCGTGTAGGAAAATGTCAATCGATGGTGTCAATTTTGCAAAGTTCTTGCACTATGGCAACTCTTGTGTTAATCCTATAATATACTCCTTTTTGGTTCCCGAGTTTAGGAAGACTGTTGCCAGTATTTTTAGAAAACTAAGAAACAATGACGAAACTGGAATTTCGACGTTTGAAATGCATTCGGCTAAAACGTAAGTAGGCACTTACTTAATCTAGGTCATTATACGCACAGATTTTACATAGTGATCGAGGGAGCTGGGGCGATTAACAGCTGCAATCTTTCAGTCCCGGGTTAGCATTTGCAAAGGCCAGACTGGATGTCAAGGTGTTGAAAAGTTTGTTCTCACAAGCAATTTGCTTTGTCTGGTTCTTAAGAAACGTCTCATATCTCCGGCGTACACTCCGTTGCAATGCAAACTTTAACTTTCCAACAGCGTCGGTTCTCCCAGACTTTTCTCGAATTGTCGATCAGGTAACTTGATGCCTTACCCTCACCTGAATGCGTCGTCAAGTTAAACGCTTACGCCCAGCTTAGAAAGCAAATTTCGCCTCAAGCTTTTACCTTCTTTATAGAATTGTTATTCAATACTTGAAAGTTAGACTTTGAGTCTCTTCATATATCATTGCTTAAGATGTCCCTGTCAAGTAAACAAATTGAATGTATCTCATCCACTATTTTTAGCTAAGTAATGATTGTTCTCGATGTAACTTCAATTTTGAACGTCTGAAGAATTCTTTTGACGAAAACACATTCAACAATTAGAAGCGAAAGCAGGTGAACAGAATCGTCCGAAAAATGCCGTTGGACCCGAATCAGTGAAGTGACAAGTTAATTTTATAATGAGTCTTTGTATTAACACGTAACGAATAGACCTTTAGAGCCATCCATCATGATTTATTCAAGATAATCAGCTGCAAAAAACTGTTTGACCTGCTACGAAATATGTTGTTAGACAAAGGCACGAGGGCTTACAGACAGCATTAGCTGCTGAGTTCGTCAGAAACACATTAAGGAAAGTAAAGGTTTCGAAAATGGATTCTGATAACCTTATCTTTCTATACGATACATTAGGCAAATTAACACCTAGCACAATGTAAATAAAGATTGTTATAAAAATGTGCGTTATGAAGTCATCCTTATCGAAGTGACAAATATGGTATTAATTAAAATCGGCTTATTACACTAAACTGGTAAATATGAGAATCCCTGCTGGTTTTGTGTTTCTTTTCAAGTTTACGTTCCTTAATGAACTCTCAGCGGAGATTTCAGTGCTGGTTTTTCAGAATGATCCCAACCAGATATCTACCAGAAGTGCCCCAGTTTAAGAAAACTGACTGAGCGTTTCTAGCTTATCATTCTCTCAGAAGGTCAACGCTCTTAGCTACCAAGGTGACAAAGCTGATGTCGTCATTCATATGGAACTAAATGATGCGAGTCGTACTTTTCTTCTTACCTATTGCATGGTGAGTGATCAGTCCCACTTATCTGGATCCTTTTGCAGAGATGCTGGAATTGCTTCACAGAGAACTCTAAACTTTTATCTGTCAATCCTGTAGGATTATATTTCTTGTTGCTTGATTTGCACCATTTTGGTTTCAATTCGTAAAGCAATCATTCCAACTGCGCGATAGAATGATCGGAACGGTGCAATATAACAAAGATTAATCGCATTAATGCCTACCTCAGAGCCTATCAGGTTAGTGTCTACAGTTTTAGTTTGTAAAATGTGGACTGTTTTTAACGATGATTGAGGTGATTTCCCAGTGAGATTGCTTGTTCTATTTTCAGAGAGGTAATTTTTGAGAATGTCATGATCACTGAATTTAGATGATCTTGATGAGGTGCCTGGTTCTCGGACCAAGCAAAATAACGTTTACTTGACCCAAAAAATGGTATACGGCCACAATTTGATCTTATAATTTAGTGATTTATGTGGACTCGTAAAGTTGTCTTCATCTCTGACCTTCAATATCAGTTGCGTCTCAAAATTATGCCTTGATATTTTGATTTATTATGATCCAAGATCACGATATTTCCTAAGGAAACGATCTTGTTCTCTTTAAACCCCAAGAATGTTACTTTTCCTTTTAAATCTTCACTCTGTTACTTTAATGCAATTATGGCTGTTTTGTCGATTTTTTTTTTTCTTGAAGTGTGATCTACCACCACAGCCGGTTATATAATCAACTTAGCTAAGTAAACAATCTTTTTAAAACAAATTTACAGACAGACAACCTTCTAAACTAAATCTTACAAACCCATCTTTCCGGTTGATTAGCAGATGAGTGAGTCGAGGCAGGAAATTGAAACAGCATTCCTGCCAAACGGACGAAACCGAACACAATAGTATGACTCAGCGCGATTTGTTGACGTGTGAGTTAAGTGGCTATGACATACTTTAAGAAAATTCTTTTACTTTTTCTTTTCCCATGCCCCGCTCTGTTGAGGTTAAGGTTTCTTAGAGAAGTAATTAACCAGATATCGTAGAACGAACCTTTGAAACCAGATCTGTCGGTGATGGAGAGAAGATTTTACTAGTGCTTCAGCCATTCAGTGCAAAAATTTGTAGGTATGTTTTGGATAAGTATATTTTCAAACGTAAACTGACGTTTAAATTGCCATCATTCCACGCTCCAGCCCCACTTGTCACTCTCTTAAGTCAAGAAAAATAAGTAAACTCTCTTGATACAATATTTTCCTTAATCATTGTCGTTTTCTCCATGTAGTTTGTTTCTCACATTTATCATGTTATGGATAACAGATTGTTTTATAGTTTTCTCTTTAAGAAAGATAATGAAAATAATGATGATAATAATAATGGTTATGTCTTCATCGTTCTGTCGTTTGACTTCAGTTGATTCAGTGGCATATGTTTACCTGAAGGCCACTGACAACACAACTGTTCCTTCGAAAGTTAGCCACCAGCCAAAATTATAGTGACTGAGACATTTTTACTAGTTATACGTGCGTAATGTTATTCATATCTACCTTACATTTCGTGGGATGTTTTAAATGAACCAGTGGAAGGAAGATAATTTTAAAATAAAACAGCCCCTGGTGTTCCTCTTATGTTAATCATATTAACGTTGATGTGATCCTCCACCTCAGCGGAAGGCGAGCTATGCAAGAATGAGCCGAATGGAGTTCAACATATCATCACTTTGCTTAATTTTAACCTTTTTAGAGAGCACTCTGTTCCATTTGGATAACCATTAAAACAGTAAGGCAAAAAACAAAACAGAACAAAACAAAAAAAGCCTCTGACAGTACAACATCAACGGAATTTTCCAGCGCGCCACGAGTTTTGAAATTCGGTGTAGAACTCACAGGACAAGTCGAGGGGAAGGAGTAACTGATCTCAAAACTGAAACTTAAAAGTATATGGCGGCTCGGCAAATTATTGTTAGACTTAATCGCGAAACCTGCAATTAATGCCAGTACTTTACCATTTAATGCAGCACTCTGCGTTACTGCTACTATAAAATGAGAAGTTTTTTTTAAATACAGGCTAACGTCTCAAAGGAAATCTTGACCTAGCTGTTTGTTACGTGCATGTATACGGATCTTCAAATTAGTATCCGGGCAAAGGTTATAGACGTAAGTATTCCGTTTAAACCGGGAATTTTCAGAGTCTCTCCGTGCAACTATTGAACAGTATGTCATCGCATTGGTCTTTGGCCTTTCTTTAGTTCTGGAAAATCATATGGGGTCTAAACAAAATCAGCTTGATCGGATCAAAGAGTGTCAGATTAACTTTGCCTGTAGAGGTTCTAACTCTGTAACACGCGATATTCTTGATAGTTATTTGCTATTGCTGAATAAATCCTTTGGATATACCTACAGGTAGATCATTATGTACTGTGTATGATTGTCGACCATTCAGTCAAAAATATCTTCGTTCTGTAGCTCTAAAAATACGAACCAGTATAGCCTTCCAGTAAAATCCTTTTTAATAGTATCGTATATTTAGATGAGACACCGGCGTGTTGTTTAACTTCCCAGTGAGGAAACAGCTGATAAATTTTAGATTTAAAAAGTGCAGAGGAATGTGTTGCACACAGCAACAGTACAATTTAATACTGAAGTGATGACTATTTGACTATTTAACGGCAAGAACTCGTAGATCTCCAAAATGAAAAACACAATTCTTAAAAGTCATCTAATGACGAAATGCGCATTTCCTCCTGTCTGTGAAACATTACTGAAAATCCGGTGGCCAATCAAAAAATGGAGCAACAGAGATACTTTAGAATAATGTTTTGGTGTGAATTAACTGTAATCAATTTTCAAAGTCAAGAGCCCTACAACTGAAGTAAACCAATTGATCCAATTTGGTCCTACGCTAAACAGTCTGGTGAAGGTCCCTTGTAATTGATTTAATTGTTTTATCAGTACTTTATGCTTGCCTCTGAATATAAGCCTCGCTCAAGTTGACTGCCATTTTCCTTACAGAATGAACATGTCAAACACAAACAACACGCAAAGAGATTGGAAACCAAGTACCCCAACTTATGGAGTTATCTTATGGTGCATAACGTACAGCCTCACAGCAGTTGGCATAATCTGCGCCAACGTGTTCGCCGTTTTCGTTTTCACAATGAAAAGGCTTTTGCGTAAGAGGAGCAATATTCTCCTATTGAATTTAGCCATCGCTGACTTGATGGTTGGAAGCATAGCGTTCCCAATGTACATTTATATTTTCTATAATTCGCACAAAAGCTTCTTATGGAGAGACATGATCACGAACCATGTGTACCTCGGCGTGGACGTCTTTTCAGGATTATCCTCGATGTTTATTTTAGCAATGATTGCCTTAGAAAGGGCGTATTCTGTCTACCGACCTCTAAAGCACCGCTGTGTTTCTAGGAGGTCAAGGCTCTATTGGTTGTCTGCAGCTTGTGTTTGGGTAACATCGGGAGTCCTTACTTCCATGAAGATTCTAACATCACTTGGAGTTCTGACCTTCTCATATGACAAACATGTTATCTTCATATTCGTGTCCATCGCCTTGATGACCATAATAGCCGCCCACGCTTCTATCTGGACCAAAATCACAAGACGAAAAGAGAACCTCGATTTCATAGTCAAAGAAAAATCCATTGCCCTAGCAATGCTTATAGTAACTGTCGCCTTTATTGTGATGTGGCTGCCGTTTTATCTGCTTAATGTAATTTACAGTTTTGATCAAAAAGCTTTGAAATCCGTCCCCTTAAATTTCTTTTACTTTGCTAAACTATTGCAGTATGGGAACTCCGTCGTGAATCCAGTAATATATACATTGAAGCTTCCACAATTCCGTAGGGCTCTGCGAAAATTACAAAGCTTCAAAAGCTCTGTAAGAACAGACAAAGACGTACCACTGTAATAGCATCAGTATATTTGCAGGAGTCTTTTAAGATAAACTCAGTGAGATAAAATCGAAAACTCTAATCTCACTCAATCAGACGTACCACTGTAATAGGGAATAAAACTGTAATTTAAGATAGCAGGTAATTTAGAGTTAACAACTGAGTTGAAAACGTAAATTAGTCAATCGCTCTGACGAAGGGCTAACGCTCGAAACGTCAGTTTTTTTACCCTTTACGGTGGCTAATTTACGTTTTCAACTCAGTTGTTAACACTAAATTACCTGCTATACTCTCCCACCGACGCAGCACCACAGTTTCTTTAGAAACTTACCCCTTTATTCATTTGTCTTTTAAGATACACTCAATGAGACAAAACCTAACGCGTTAATCTCACTCTTTGCAAGTAACGTAAGGGCCTATTTACACGGTACGACTTTGTCGCATGCGACAAGCTTACGACAGGCTTACGACACGAATTGTTTCGTGTAAATCAAACCTACAACTCGCTTACGACTCTTAAGTCATGTCGTAGGCCTGTCGTAAGCTTGTCGCATGCGACAAAGTCGTGCCGTGTAAATAGGCCTTAAGACTCCCAAAGAACTGATAGGTTACCAGCGTGAGAAAATGTACATTTCATGGTCTTGCTTACCCTATTTCGCGATTCATTGGGCCGTTTCGTTGATTGGACATTTGAAAACTCCTCGATAAAACGACATCCCAGTTTTGGAATTGTCCACCCTTTTCGCTATTGGGTATGTTGATAGGAACAGATAGCCTACTTGTAGTTGTTCCCTCCCCCTTCCCCCCCCCCCCCCTCCTTAGGGTGAAACGGAAGCGAGGGGCGGTTTACGAAATACTACTGTGAATAGATCTCTTTGTAATTTACATTAAAGGACTGCAATTATTGGAATATCTCGAGTTCTGCCAAAGTCGTCGATCGACCAATGATGATATAAGTGGAAATAAACTGACTGCACGGTGCTTCCGTCAAGAACCACAGGACGCTTAATTTGCTTGACTAGCTGTAATTTCTATTAAGTTTAGCTTTAATGTAGGTTTCACCACAGCACCACGTGCGTATTTTTGGTCAATTGTTTCTAAAACGAACATCAAAATTTTTCTTGTGCGTTAAATCAATTTTTTCTCCAACGACTGCAATGATTGCCATCCAGTAGAATTCTCTCGGTGGTGTCGTGTTTCCAATATCCAAATGGCATAATGTAGAAACGTTCTCTACAACAGGACCTATGCAGACGTCCATAACGAAGAATATAAATCTAATTGCCATGTTTTCCTGATTTTGATATCCAATGTCAAAATTTGCTCTTCAGCAAGCTGCATTATTATACCGTGTAATCGCTAACTGAAGTCGGCCTATTTCTCACCGTCTTTGATTAAAAGGAAAAGGACCGGAAAAGTGTAACTAACAGTGATTTGAAAACGTGAATGACCTTATAACAATAATTGAATTGATGTTAAATTTAATGCAAAACATATCATCCCCACCTTTCTATTTCATTGTCTAAAAAATACACGGCTCCGTCAGAAAAGATTAAATTTTAACACATTCTAAATCCAATATTTTATTGGACAGTTACTGAGAAACGACGTATTCAAGTTTGGCATGAAATCGGTAGCAAAATAGCCGCTTTAAAGTTACAATTGGCAATTTGTTTAAATATCACGCAGCTTTTCTATATGACTTCCGACGGGACAGAAAAAAGAAAACAATCATGATAACATTGTTATTGTAGCTTTATTTCGCTCGATTGCTTGGACATTGTTTTTTTTCTTTCTTATTTTGACTGGCTGATCAACAATTGCTTCGATCATTTCGCCAAGAAAATATCAGACTTTTTTTTCTCTTTATTTTGGATAACTAAGGCATTGTGATATATTTTTCATAGAAAGCACCGAAACAAATGCTGTTACGTTTTCGCATGCATAAAGATTCGTCGACCCGAACTTGCTAATAAAAACTAAACAGAACGAAGATTATTTGAATAAAGTTTTAATTGTCAAAGGGAGCAATACATTGGCAAGGCGAAATACTGACGGAAATGTTCACATCGAAAAAATAAACATAAAGATATTAAACTTATTAGTTTATCACAATACACTCTCTTGATACGAGAGCGGTGTGCCAATTTGACGACGAAACAGGAGTCCTCGCTACTTACCTAGTCATAACACCTGCAAATCCAATTGCCAAATTTGCTTTTAGTCAAAATGTGAAGAGGCGATGCACTTTACTGGCCTTTCAAACAGCGCATTTAAGCCAAAAAAATTGTCGTTGCTATTTTTAACTACAGCTAACATACATACAATAACAGGGTTTTAGTTTGTGTTAATGGAAGCATGCCGCTGTGATGAAAGGACACCTAAAGGCGCTTTAGTCAACGCGGATACAGGGAGAAAAACATCACCGAAACACGACCGTGAAATTCTCATTTCTGGAACTAATTTCACCCAGGTATGTAAATATAGATTTGTTAGGAGATTGCAGTCGTTCAATAATGACGAGTTCAATGTACACTTTCACGCTCTTCATAATAAGAATTTTATTTTTTTTCTTTACCCACAATCCCCCGCTGTTACGGTTAATAAAGAAATATTTAAGGAATACATTTGCCGCAGTCTTGCATAGTTCGTAAGACGTTACCGCGTGAGCCAAACAACAAAGCACAGATGGTAACAGCTGCTTTAGTAATATACATGTGAACTCCGCTTAACGGATTGATCGTTTCTGTTGCCTTTCAGATTGAAGCTCGATGTTAACCTGAAGAGTTCCTGTTAGGCTGGCAAAGCGAAGTTGTTTGCACCATCCATTTAAATACGGTCAGTATTTGACTTGCTCATTTACACTTCTTTCGAGAGAAAGTTGTGAGGCGAGAAACAAAATATCAGAATGCATTGTTCATCTCCTTTATTCCTGTTATCTAAGCTTTGACACGTTCGGTGAGGAAATCGTTAACGATGTATAAGAACAGCTCAAGACAATTGGAACAAGTGAACTACAGTTTTGAACGCCGGGCAAGACAGAAATAAGAATGAACTTATCGCCGCTTGTTCCGGCAAACTCAAAATAGACAGAACCAATTGATGTTTATGCAAAATGTGTTGAACACGTCGACAAAATAACTCATTTAATGTAATGAATACCACTAATCTGTATTTTACTGAAATTTGTTCACACTTGTGTTTTAGCTTGGTTTGGTCATGCTTACTTAGTTAGACATGAACCGTGAATTTTACATACAGCGAGAACTTATGTTAAAGCTAAATCGTTAAAAGATAAGCCCATTACTGAATCACTCGTATCAAACTCAAGATAAATGTGTCTGCAGATTTTAATGTTTTATACAAGTCTAGCAATTTCGAAGCTTATCTTGGTCCACAAATGGTTATGTTAAAACGAGAAGAACAAAATAAACTAAATGACGTTGTTTCAACTCGCCATTTGGCGATCTTTGCCTTATTACGAAAGCAATCAGTATCTGCTCAAATCTTCATTGTGCAAAATGTGAATTTCTATTTAAACATTAGCCCCCCAATATAAATTCCGTAGTTTTGCTTTCTATGGACATTTTTAATTGCTAAAACTTTCTTCGGGTAACCAATAAATTTAGCCACCTCATAAATCATGCATTGTTTATTTTTTTCATAAAACTTGACCGAGATTTACGGTGTTATTCACGCTGAAAATTTGCATAAATCTTTCTTCTGTTAAAAATCGATTAATTTTAAGGAGGAATATTACCGGAGCGAAAGGTTAAATTTGTGCTTTGTAATAGATGAAAGGCAGGAAAATTTATTTATGTGGGTCATGCAACATAAAAACGTAGGGCGAAACCTTGTTAGAAGCCGGTGAAAAGTGACAATACTTTATCAAACAATTCTGCATAAACTAGTGAACAACATATCATCTTATTGAAAAGAAAAACACACAGACTTCGTAGGTGAAAGCTGTCACAAGTGTTTGTCGCTACGTATACGACATATGAGTTTCATTAACTAACTTCTCCGGAGACTGCGTTTGAACGTCGTGTTTTTTTTTCCATATTAAAGGAAACTTCTGATTCAGAATATTTACGTTTATATGACATTTAATTTGATATGCGTCAAACCAAATGAAGATTTAAAAGAAAATGTTTTTGCCATTTGTTTCAATATTAGAACAAGTGAGCAGTTCTCGGAAGCTTTTGTGAAGTGTCTCTGAAAATTTTAAAAAGATTTTTGTCTTGTTGACGCACTTGATGCAAGAGTGCAACTTGATCCTTCTGTGATCCTTCCTCAGGAGGTGTTACAAAATTTGATGCATTAAAATTGCACGAGACAGTAATTGTTAGAAAACGCTTCAGTAAACTGAATTTCGGTATCATTTTTCGTTATTTGGTGACAACTAAGCTCTGGCGATGCCTCAACTGTGAAAACAAGACCGATATAAGGTAGTAAAACAAATATTTATAGCCTGCCTTGAGCCTGAGCATACATTTACCCAAAGGTATCAGTCATACATGACATGTTTCACTCCCGTATCGTGAAATCTTAGACATCAAAATCGGATGCTGAAACGAACCTTGAAAATAAGGTTCTTTTATTACTACAAAACGAGGCCACCCCTTCAAACATAAAAATAAATGATAAAAAAGACCTTATAACCAAAACGAAATGCTTTTGAGGATGATAATATAGGTTGTCTAATGTAAAACCACAAAGTTGCCTATCACAATTGCTTGCTTGCGTAAGTAAAATATCAACTAAGATTAAATCTCACTCGTTACGTTTCAGGAAAACAATACTCTTATAGAGGAATGAATAATAACACTTCAGGGCCAGGTAATTCCACATCCACTGGGGAAGATAAGCAGGTCATCACCTGGTGTGTTGCATATGCACTCGTAACAGTCACTATCATAGTGAATAATGTGGCAGCCATATTGGCATTTACAAAGTCACGCCTTCTAAGGAAATTTGGAAACTATTTCCTTGTTAATCTGGCAGTGGCGGATTTGATGGTCGGGACAATTGCTTTGCCGTTGTATATACATTTAATCTACATATCACCGCCTAAAACATCGTTATCAACCAAACCAGGGCCTTTTCAGATCGTACAAATTGCTTTTGATGTGTTTTCTGGAATGGCATCTGTCTTCATACTCACCGTTATTTCTTTTGAAAGGGTATGCGCCATATTTTGCCCCCTACGATATCGCAGCCTTTCAAAAGCAACCTATCTCATTGTATTAACAGAGGTATGGATTCTTGCGGGAGCTCTCACAGGAATATGGCTTTTGACTGTGTTTGACTTCATCCATCATAATATCTTTGCGTATAGTTTGGCTATTTTATCTTTCACATCGCTTACGTTGATGATAGCTTCTTACGTCGCTCTATGGCTGAAGATCAAAATCTGGAGCCGCAAAACTCAACAGCGAGCGACAGGAGAAAAAGAACGCAACTTAGCAATGGCCATCGCTATCATAACTGCAGTATTCTTGTTAACCTGGTCACCATTTCATATCATGAATATCTTGATAAACTTTAAAAAATCTCTCCTAGATGGGATTCCCTATGAAGCCATCTATTTTGCAAAGTTTTTACATTACAGCAACTCGATTGTTAATCCAGTGATTTACTGTTATAAAATCTCTGAATTCAGAAGAGCATTGAAGTCCTTGATTTCAAGAAAACAAAAGAAAAGAGAAACACGAGTTTGATTCAAGTTCAGTAAAAGTTGAAGAAATATTATAATAATAAGCCCTTGATTTCAAGAAAACAAAAGAAAAGAGAGACAAGAGTTTGATTCAAGTTTAGTAAAAATTGTAGAAATATTATGTCTCACGAAGAGGAGGATAACGATACGATTCAACGCATATATTTATCGAAGGCAGTGTAATAACTAAGTTATTTACTCATGAACTTACATTTACTCATTTCCTAAATGTACATACCATACGCACGTTCCTGATCTATACAATAAATCTAAAACAAAGGCCATTTTACTTTACCCGGCTTCAGAATTTATGCTTGTTTTTAGACTTGGCTTTTGCAAGTTGTACCTGATTTGCCAATCCATCAAACTTTGCATGATAAGCTGAATGGCGTTTTAATTTGTTCTTATCCATGATTCGTAAGAGGACAGACGCAAAAATAACGTCACCATCAAAAACTCCGAAGCGCTAACGTTGGAAACGTCAGCTTTAGAAACTCTTACGGTGACCAAATTACATTACCAACACAACCGAATTAAAATTAAGTGGCGAGAACTTCACAGACTTACTTTACTGCGCCTCGTGCGCCATTTTTTGTTCTTACCAAATTCTGACGTCAACTGTCATCACTGAGCAGACGCTCGGCAACATGGAATTACAAAACAGACGCACAGCATCATGAAATCTATTTGTCACTCGTTAAAGTGCAAATAAACTTCTTATCAGTGCCGAAGTCAGGAATTGGTAAAATCTTCTCGAAACTCAGCCCGAAGAGATATCCTCTGGTTACTCCTTTTTCTCTTTCTTTTCATTTGGAGTTTTAAAGACAAATTCGCTCACACGCTTTCGCGGTATCGTTTAAACCATTTTAATGGTAATCTTAAGAGGATTATCTTAAGACTTTAAGGGGTTACAAATTATACTTTATGGGTGGCGGAGAGACCCAAGTTCTACTGACTCCGGATCCGTCTTGGATTAACTTACATCCTCAATATTTAAACTCCAAGCTTCAGAAATTCGGAATCCGAACTTTAAAAGCTTGTATTTCAATCAGTCTACTTTCCTCAGGTAAAAAAAGTTTAATTACTAATGTTGATGAAGGTAATTTGGTTTTATCAACTAGTACTGAGTTGATAATGTAAATTGGCCACGGTAAAGAGTTTCTTCAGCGGACGTTTCGAGCGATAGCTCTTTGTCAAGATGAGGTGATGACGAATATTAAAACTTCAACTTTGGAGTTTCATCCCTTTGTCGAAGAAAAATTTGAAGGCAATTTCGCGTCAACGAGCGTGAAGGGGCTAATTCACATCACTTTAACGTTCCTTGCATTCTCTGTTGGTTGCCAAAGTAACTTAATATTGATTACACTGCAGAATTCAAGAACTCCTCTGTTTCATAGGCGCCAGATACAACAACGTAATGACATAAGAGAATGGATAGACCGATCACAGACAAACAATTCCGATTTCATAAACCTGAGAACAAAACATTTGATTCTCCGCTTTCAAGTGATGGAGGCATTCATGATTGGCCGAAAATCACTTTATTGTTAATTCATAAGGATCCAGCCAAGTTTGATACTCCACTTGCGAGCGCGTTGTTTCACCACCTACGTCAAAAAGGAGAAATATGTAGGTATGACAACAATAATTTGGTGATTTATTAAGTAAAATCTATCCCTTATAAACATCTTTTTGTTCACACCTCATAATCAATCAGACCTGTTATTTCGAGGTGATAGGTTTACCAACAAAGACTTCCGCTCTAAAATTAATTTCCTTTAAGGTAATTGCTCAATCAGGAGTTATGAAAGCAATTTCTAATGAAAAATACACATTCGTATTTGAATAATGCTTGTGTTCAGACGTAAAATAACTCTAGTCGTCTGTTTGTGTAATCAAGTTGTCTCTAGAACATTGTCGATAATAACATCAACAATAATAGAAATAAAGTGATGCCCCAGAAATCCGTGCGAATCAGTCATATTGCACTCCTTCAGGATTAATCCATCTGATTGTTTATTAATTGTAGTAAAACATGTCCATGAAACACCTGTGACATCTAAACCCTCCGATTGATGAAGCACGATTTACCCTAAACTATGCTAATTAAAAGTCTCAGGGCGGCATTATTTGGGCACGATTATAAAGAACTTGTAAGAACAAATAAACAGATATAGAAATACAAACAAATAGCTGCAGATTAATTAGTAACTCGTACACCTTTAATTGGAAAAGCAAATGACACAGTTTGGTGAATCATTTTCTCGGCGAATTTGATCAAGGGGTTGACGGTTTTGCAACTTTTTTTCATCCAAGACACGAGACGCATAATTGACTGAGCCGAAGGATTATTTTTACCCTCGTATTCACAGCGGGGCGTTTATAATGACTATACCTACCCGTATAGTATAAAAATAGTCGTTGTTACCAGTTTGGGCGCTCAACCCAGAATGCTGCGTCTCAGCTGATAAGACTAACGCAAGGTATGTTCAGTCGGGAACACATTGTGAGTGAGAAAGTTAATCGAAAGGTAGTAGTAGTAGCCATTGCTTAAAACTAATACTCCGCAACACTGCTAGGTAAACAGTGTGTTTTGATATTACACATCATACGCTTATGATACCTATCTGGCTTCCGTTCGTTTCGAGGAAATTTGGTAAGAGAATCTTGATATTTGTTCATAACCTCTTTGTAATTCTTCCTAACCCGTTCCTTAACGATAACAAGCATAGTGGGCCAGTGCGATACTCTCAATTTCTCTATGATAAATAATTCGTTCATTCGAGACTGTATTTATTCCGAATTGCTTTTGTCTCCTTCACTAATTGGCCATTTTACGGATGTCGTATAAGTTCAACTTCTTGCAAACAACGAGAGTTCATTTATCCGTGCGTATTCAGTCGCACATGGCTAACTCAGAGAGAAGGATACCTGAATCTACTGACATTTGCATCTTCTCAGACTACGTAAAAAATTTAATTCTGATTTACAATGAGATAAACTCAGAGGTTACATGTTCTGAGCACTTCGATGCAAGAACGAATTTGTAAGGCCTTCCGGCGATAAGTGAAGGGCGAATTATTTTCTTTCCACCGGATACAAAATTGCTTTGCCTTCTTAAGTTCCTGAGAAGTGTTGAGCATATGTTTAGTTTCATTCGTGAGAACATCGTCATGTCAAAATGCTACCGTTTGAAGTGCGTGTTTATCGCTGCACTTTTCAAAATAGTCTAAATATTTAAGTTGATCAAATTATTCCATAATTCCACTAACGTTGGTCTAAATAGTCAAATTGTAATAACAAAGAGCAAGATGGATTAGAAGTCCTTTAACTCTAAAAGGAGTAAATAAACTTGATTTCCGGTGAAGAAAACAGAATGCATGCAATAGAATTTAGTCGTGTGTTGGTTAGGCCAATATGTAACTCCCAGGCAATTATCTGATACGAAAGCAGGCATCAGAAGAAAGTATGGAAAGTATAATAAGAGGTATTGCCGCTTAAAAACTTCAGTGGCCGTAAATTTTGCTTTAAATCAGTTGATTACTTTACCGTGACTAGATCTTGGGAAATGTTACCCCCTGCGGTTGTTTCCTTGAAGGGTATCAATGCTGACCGCGAAAAAGAAATTTAACGTTTTGAATTTAAAACACCAATGTAATTTTAACAAATACATATAAATAGCTCTCAACATAGAAAAATTCTGACTCCTGTTGCCATTCGTTAATCCGTTTTGAAATGAAGGAAACAGTTGTTATATTTAGTGCTTAAATGCGAATGAATAAATTCCACTCTCAAGTTGTCAAAACAGATTTAAAATAACGACAGTACTGAATCGGCCAGACTTAAGGCTAAGAAAGAATTATAAAAATTGTTTACACCGAACCATTTCCTAGTTGATGTCAAATCTTGCAACGGAATGGTTCGGTTAGAAACCGGTTTATTTCTTGTGATGGACTTGATATCTCGCATAGACAATGTCGCCCGGCCTGCATAGCGTAATGTTATGTGTTAAATGATAAAATTACAATTATAGTTAATCTACAATATCGTAAGGGTTTACTTGTTGGAAAAAAGGAATGGAAATATTTTATTATTTTAAGTCATTTAATGCAAATTATAATCAAAGTGCTCTGTGAGCAAACTCGTGAATTAACATATGATTTTTTGGATTATGTTTAATGTTACCTGGTTTAGGGAATTTTGTGGTTGATTGTCACATCAAGAGTACGAGCAGTAGTTCAGTGTTCGCTAATGTAGCAAAGAAACAAAGTAACGTTGGGATAAGAAGGCATTACAATTGAAATGATCATGTTATTACATTTGACAAGGGTGAATGATGTCATATGTTTTAAACGTATATCATTTTTGTTTCTGGTTCAAAAGAAAAGGTTGGAAGTAAATGTGGGTGAAAAGTGAAATTTACTGTCTATTATTGTAAATATTAGAAAATCAAGGCAATACTGTCTTAATGAAAACATTAACGATTCCCTCTTTATCAAATGAGACAAACGGGAAGTTTTGAGTGACATAACTAAGCCAAGACTGCCACCGTCATTTTGGATCTCCGCCTGGGCAGATTTTAGTCACGTGCTAGGCACCTTATAATCAAGAACAAGATAGAATTTCATTTCAGGCCTATTTATCAATTTTGTGGTGTATAACTTTCGCATTTTAGTACGTTATATTTATTTTGAATCTTCAAACTGTCTTGAAACTTTAAAAAAATTTTTCTTTAAAAATTCGCTGAAAATCGGTAGCTAAAATTGTTTGTTTAGGTGTTATTTGATTTTCGTGTAACTTGTACTTTCGTCAGTCGCGGCATCTTCTGTTGCTTCACAAAGGAAAAACACACGATACGAAACGTGATGATCGATTTTGTCCTCAATCTCACGCCATAACAGAAAAAGCTTTTGAACATCTGTAAACTCAGAGCGCTTCGCAGTAAGTGATATTTTCAATGAATCTTCGGATTGTTTTCGAGTTCAAGGATTGTAAATTACAATTTTATGAAAAACGAAGGTTGTTCTGTTATTTCAGTGTGAACCCTTGCATGCCTGCCAGTCGCTGGCGCCGCTTGTTGAAACTAAAACGAAAAAAAAAACTATTTTAAGATTATCATTGGCTTCTTTTTCAGCCCACCACTATTCTTAGCAACAAAGGTCGCCATTTCATTTGTTTATTGCTCGCCAAAAACTATCAAATGCACTCAAAATCCTAAAATCGAAAAAAAGTTTACAGGAATCGACCAATCGAGCGAGCGAGCGAGCGAGTGCCATTCTCCACATCATATCTACGACTCGCTCTTGCGCATGCGCGCAATTCACGAGTTAAAAAAGGGCAGGTTGATTACTTCGTACTCCTTCTTGGTAGTCTTATCTCAAAGGTTGAGTTTGGTCACGTTCTTCTTGTGAGTTTGGCCACGTTCTCCCAGTGAGTTTAATCACGTTTTCCTCGTTGTGATCGTGAGGTTGATATGGAACTCGTGATAAGCCATGTTCTTAATTAAGTTAATTTGTTAGTCCAGGAAGAGTAAATCTCCCTAGTAATAGGTCGCGTTCGACACCTTCTTATTCCCAGAGGTAATTTAAGGTGTAAACAGGTGATACCCCTCATGTTTCGCGACCAAAAGCAATTTGGGGGCGGTACTTGTGAGCGTTTTTCTTCTTTAACTCTTGTGACCAGGATGTTGTTATGTAACAATCTTTAAAGGTGATTTCCTCTTAAGATACCCTTTCAGGTATAAATAATACTCGGAACCAAGGTTATTTGTAATTTTTATATTATCGATCTCGTTTCTGTTCTGGCCGATCTCAACCGTAAAGATATGAAAATTAAGGTAGAAATTGATTTTGTAACTGCGTGAACAACTCGAAGGTGCATACTCAGTATGTGGGAACTGTAGTACGTAGTTAAGCGTGATTCGCTAGTTGAGATGGTACGATGACGACACAAGAAGATTGACGGCTTAGAAATGTCATCCGTAGTGTCACCTTTAGATGCGGAGACTTATTTATGTTAAGAAATATGTTAAGAAACCACTGTAATCAAGCCTTAAAATTCAGTATCTTGAGCTTATGTTATGGAAGCGACGGTGAACTCTGAATTATTGATCACTTTCGAAGAAAACTTCCATCTTTCGGATGGCATTCTTGAGCCTGAAGGCAACTTTGATCTTGATCTTTGAGAATGTTTCGATGGCGTTGATGCCAGTTTGATTCATTCAAGTCAGAGCACGTTTATATGAAATCAAATCTTAGCTATGCCTCACCAATGTTTATACCATTCGATAAACCATATTATCTGCAAGATGCATACCCCACTATCTCTATTGACCCCCCCTTTAAAAGAATATCGAAGGCAACTTAAAGAGAGTTTAGAGTTCTATAAAAAAACGCTAATGTACGAGTAATTATACATATATATATATATATATTCTTTCAGTCATCCCAAGTTTGATCAAACGCTATTCGACCGTGTTAATACTTCGACAACGAGTCATCTTTGCTGGGGATTTCGTGTAACCCAACGTGACACACTTCTTGTTTGTCACCTAACTCATCAATATGTTCATCTTTAAACGATTAATGCCTGCCCCTGAATTACTGAAATCATTTTATCATGTTTTTTCCTTTCAGCAAAATCTCCCTGGTTTAGCCACATACTAACATGAACTATTCATCAACAGTGGAACTGCCATGAACAATTCAACAACCGAGAACTCTCTTCCCACAAAACATCTTCGAGTCATTGCATGGTGTATATCATACGGAATCGTAGCAGTACTCATTACCATTGGCAACAGCCTTACCATTGCAATTTTTTCAAACAAGAAATTTCCAAGGAAATTCGGCGGCTACTTTTTGATGAATTTGGCTGTCGCTGATCTAATGGTGGGTTCTTCTGCTATGCCAATGTACATCTATATTGTGTACGCTCTCAGTTATTCGTCAATCGACAGAAGTCTTTTGCTCTTCCAAGAGGCTTATGTGGTTGTAGACGTCTTTACTGGTCTTGCTTCTGTGTTCACACTGGCTTGTATCGCACTCGAGAGACTCTATGCCGTACTTTACCCAATGACATACCGCTGGAAAAAAACCAAGACAGGTTATTACAAGGCTATAACCATGGTATGGGTTACATCAGGAATAGCGTCTGTTGTTTACATTTTAAGCTCTCGAAATCTTCTTTTCATTCTGCCTAGAGCAACTTTCATCTATTATTTAACAATTTTGTCTGTTCTGTCTGTTTTTGTCATTTCTGCTGCCTACGTGACCGTTTCCGTTCGTGTTCATCTATGGAACAAGGCTAAAATGGATATGTGTGTTTCCAAGCAGGAAAAACGCTTAGCAACCGCGTTGTACATAGTTACGGTTGTTTTCGTTTTAAGTTGGACTCCTTTTCATGCCATGAACATTATTGCGAACTTTACAAGTACAGCTTTGGAGAGAATACCTGTAGACCTTGTTTTCTCTGCAAAGCTGCTTCACTATGGTAATTCACTAGCAAATCCTGCCATTTATTCTCTGAAAATACCCGAGTTCAGAGTAGTAGTGAGGCGCATGTTTTGTAAAAACTGGGTCAGAGAGACTCGAGTTTGATTGATTGTATTGATTTGATGGTGGTTGACTTTACACATAAAGGAAACGGAGCAATAATTAGTTGGGGCCAATATCTGAAGTGCCAATGAAGAAATTAACAGCTTCCTTACAATTAAAGTACCAGTGGGTATGGTGACACCTGTCGACGCCTGACTCATGAAAATAGAGAAAAAGATTGAATATTTAGTGGAGTGCCGCACGCACGAAAGAGTCACTAAAAAGAAAAAAACTTATTTAAAAACAGTTTAAAAAGAATGTCAGTTTAAAACACCTCAGTCATACGGCATGAGATGAGTCTTTTCGTCTAAAGATGAGGTAACACATTTTGAAGGACCAAGCAAACGAAAGTAAAGCTTAACTTCTATTCAGTAAGCTTTAATTTTTTATGAAAGTCACGTTGCAATTCTTGTTTCATGCATTATACAATCCCTATGGGATTGGGAAAACCTGAAATGAACGTTTCGTGCTTCCTACTGAACTTTATTGAAACAAACAGTAAGAAAATAAAGATATAAATTGCGTGCTTTTGTTACCAAAGCTGCTCGTCATCTCACAATGATAATTTTTCTTTTCAAAGGAATCAATTTATATTACGAATTGTCATTGCGTTGTGCGTTTGAAAAAACCTTTATCAATCGGTATCAGTTATAACGTTTTTAACTAAGACGTTATTCTTTGTGGGAGTATAATCGAGGCTATTGAAATTCAGGTAATTTGGTGTTAACGACTGAGTTGAAAACGTAAATTGGCCACCTGAAAGAGTTAAAAATTGAAATTCAATCCGGTTGATAATCTTTCATTTGGAAAAAGCTTTAGTAAAACGCTTCGTTCATAATCAATAAAGTAGCGGAACACATAATTTGGGATGCCAGAAAAGCAGTGACCCACATTTCGATAACCTGAACGGAAGTCATCATCATTGACTTCCGCCAAGGTTAGTTGCTAACGACAACTGTCGATTAGATCGCACGATCAACTGTTACCGCGGGATGAAATAATTAAATTTTGGGTGTTAAATAAGATTGATGTTCTTTTTTTTTACATCTATTTTCTTTCTGGTAGCTGGTTCACCTATTTTTTGGAATTTTTTTTGGAGCAAGCTTCAATTTTTGACAGACACCTCCAAGTGTGTGAGAGCAAATAGCCGCAGCTCGATATAATTAAATGAACGTAAATTAACTGAACCTTTGGATGATATGGAATCAACGGTTATTCAAACAAATAAAACGCTTTACGCTCAATGTCATCTATCAGTTGTTAATAATCAGTATCTAAAAATGTAGATCCTTTGGTCAGAAATATCTGCGCGGTATTATTAAATGTTCGATTGTTTTTGAGTGTGCAGATGATCTTGTATATTTATGAATTAATAGTTGCAGCGGGCACAGGGCTGTAAAAGAGCGATCATTCGTCTGCTTTGTGCTTAGCTACGGTTTCTAGAACGACAAACTTCTTGTTCCATCAAATCTTGACCGTCCAAACCTCCAAAAGGTACATAACCTCAAATCAGTACTTTGCCATACGGTAAAACACGTGCCGCATTAGCTATCGGTGATTAACATCAGCAGGCTGCAAGTGGCGACCGACTGCGTCAAAAGCCAAATTCCCTAATAGGAGACCGGGTGCATAGCCCATACAGCTAGGTGATTATCAGCCAAAAGCAAATGAAAAATGCAGACGTCATTACTTGAAGTGCAAAGGCGAGTAACGCGTTGTTAGCTTAAAAGTCGATCTGCCCGGAGCCTTTTCCCCGCCCGCGTAAATCGCTTGCGTTCACAATGGAAATGGATCAAACTTGTTCAAGTTGGACGAGAGTACTTGCATCTTGTGGGTATCACTAGAGCAAAAAATTTAATCATCCAAGCATTAGCTGATATTGCCCCAGGTGGATAACGCTTACACCGTTACGTTCACCCTTCAATTTTTTACTATATCTCGCTTACTTTGAACCGAGGAAACGAGAACAACTACCAACAGGTGTTAACGGTTAACTGCGCTTCAAAGTTGGAAAGCACAAGCGTCTTGAGTCAAGTAAGGAGTAAAGGTAGTGCTATAAACAACTTTTTCAGGTATTCAATTAGCCTATTGTCCACGTACGTAAACCAACACAAAAGTATAAAAGCGGCTGAGCGATTTGCATATGTCACGACGCGGTCGAGGGTCCATTTTAGCACAAAGTGACAAGGCAAAAGTACATGAAGTGTTTGCCATACTCAATTTAGATGATCACCCGAGCGGAGGGCAGGAGGTATTAACTCTTCCTTTGATAAAGTTAAAGGTAAAAATTTTTGATAACTGAATTTTCGACGCTCATTATCCTGCTTACTGTCGAGCCACCGCTGCGATCTTCATAATTTCTAGAGCCCGCCCGCGTTGTGCCATGGCAAGTGAAAACGATTGTGTGGTTATCATTACAATTGTTCTCACCAAAAGGGATTTGATTGAAGATGCCACAACGATTGTCCATCATTCGGCGTTCTGATTCATTTTCAACTGATCATGACGAGGCCATAGGCTGCACTGTAGTGCTTTATATATTTATCTTACTATTTAACTGCTATAACGTGAAGGTTGTTATCGTATGAAATTGCTCGGACACCCCAGAGTTGCCATAGAAATGCCGTAATTTCTAGGTTCCCTTAAATCGTATTATTTCTGGTAACTTTATGTAGCCGATATATACCTTTTGGCTGTTATTTGAACTTCGTGGCTTAGTCTCAAGGCAGGGTAAGGTACAAAACATGACGCAAAATGATGCAGCAAAATTTCTTGCCAAGGATCAATGTCTTTTAATTAAATAGCCATAACAGACCCAGATAGACAAAATTACCTGCAGGGTTTCATATTGGCGAAACATGACGGGTAGCCTGAGAGCGGGATATTTTGAACACATGTTAAAACCTCGTAAACGAAAACCACGATCGGTCTATCATGTCAAAATTCACGCCACGTCCAGCTGTTTTGTATGCATGAGTTCCATTTGTTTCAAAATAGAGCGGCACAATTAACTGTTAGTGTTCTTACTTCCACGACGTGCGACACCTTTTCGAAAGTAAAACGAGGGGAAAGTTCAGAACAGATCTATAAAGAAATAAAATTCATCAATGTTTACAAATAATTTACAAGTTTTTGATACCAAAGTAATGAAAGGTGAAAATGTCTGTGACCTGGAGAATGCTAGCATCGTCGTTAGACAGTATAATTATTCCTAAAAAAATTGAAAAATAATACAGATATTACTAACACTAATGATGAAATCAAATCTTCATTCAGAGGTTCTATGTAACACTTGGCTTAGGGGCGATGTACCATTTGCTCTTTGGAAGTAAATACACAAAGCAATGTATATACCATGATTAGTCTCTTTGAATGGGCAACGATTTTAATCAAGTTTGTAGTTTTATGGGCACCGCCGACGTGAAATCATGGATCATTACTAGAAAAAGATGCTCAAATGCGCGTTTATGAAGCAGTACTCAGAGAGCACGTATACATAAGCAGTCACCTTTTATTCTGCACTGAATTTTCACGCAAATTTTTTATTGCCTGTTTACAATTTGTAAGTTTATAACAGGCGACATTGATAAAGCCTGCGTCTTTTAATCGTAATTGCATAATAATAGCGGTGTATGAATAGTATTCTGTCGATGTATTAAACTTTTCCGGAAACCCTTTCCTGGAACTGTTTTCTTACTCATGAAGATTGCAATTAAAACTGCTAAAGTCATGCATAAAGAGACTGCCAAATACACACACGAATTTTAAAATGCCAGGTTCTAGAAGAAGACTTAAGACCCTTAATTGAATATTCATAGATGATCGGCTCACTTCTGCATCCAAGCTTCGTCGATCGAAGATTCCAGTCGTGTTTTTAATTTCGTTCTGCCAACCTATTGTTAGATTCAAGCACGTACGAAATACATTTCAGTTTGTCGACTTTTAGATGTTTTAATGCGTTTAGAGAAGTTTCTTTTACGACTGGTACAAGTGTGTTTACTTCAAAGACGTTCGCAAATATCCGGCATTGCGGCGATGTTATTTTCGAAATTTTGATAAGACCTCTTTAGGTGAAAATACACAGTTTATGACAACAAGCAGAAAATTGAAATTTTTCCTAATTTGTGTCATCCTTAGAACTCGACGTAGTTTTCCGAGACAACGTCACATTTGGAGGAAAATGATCAAAGTTACTAAAGATAAAAGGTTACGAACATGTTATTGAAAAAGTCATTACAACGGTAAACAAAGAAATCTTATGTCGAGTGAAATTTGCATTGTTAATGTTCTTTGGAAAACCGCGAAACTGATAAGCTAGCGTAGCGTGCACAAACATCGCCCTGGATACATCATGTCGTTCTCTTAGAATAAATTGTCTCTTAGTACAGGCGCGTTTTGCAGACATTAAGAAGGCTTCCTACTAATATCTGTTTTTAATCAGTGAATTATGTTGGTTATGAAGTTCCACAGTCAAGTATTTTTCTCCGTTGGTTTCCACCGGAAAAGGAAACGAGCGAAGTTTATAGCATAAGATACACTTTACTTAGTCTCTGACTAAGTGCCCATCAGTTGCAGAGCCTGAGCACGGATGGCAACCATTAGTTATATCATATCACCCATGAGTAGGGTTGAAAAATAGGCTGAAAATTGATACTGTTTTCTCCTGAACTGGTGAGTATAACATTGATTCACTTTGTATTTTCAAGTAGAGCGTTTACCGAAAACAAACGGGAAAAATGAACTCTGACTTTACCCAATTTCACTATTAATATTACCGAAGGAAAATTTGAAAATATTTCCTGCTCAAATTATATTCAAATATTCTCAATGAAGTGCAAAGACAGCTTGAAGCATTCGAAAAGGAAGTCATTTTTTTTGCCGTGAGGCCTTTTGATAAAATTCCCCCTAAGAAAATCCAGAAATAAAACCGCCCTATCTTTTCGTGCATTTTTTAAAAATTTGTTGTTGTTAAAGCCAATAACCAGCCGGCGTGGGTAGTCTGAGTAGTGAGCCAAACCAATTTAATATAAACCGAATAAAGAACTCTCTCCATTTTGAGAGATTGCAGATGGCGGGAATGTGGGCGACTCGCAATTGATGGTCACCGCGGGCTTACATGTAGTTAAAATTTAGTTTTCTGTCGCGGTTTTGAAAAAGCGAATGTAAATTTAATGGGCCTCTAGTGATAACTAGAATTAAATCGCACAATTTAGATAAATTGCTTATTTTCTCTGAATACATTTAAATTCACTCGCTTCTAAGCCATTTTTTTAGTGCGCTTTTGTCCTTTTACTGTAGTAGGTGTAGTTTCAAACTGATTTGCAAGCAGATTAGACTTTGATTAGGCCATACCTGCCTTTACAAACTTCATGGTGATTTTTGTTATGGAAATACTTATCCAAAATTGTCTCATTTTTTTTATATCATACATCATTATTTAAATATATTTTTAACGATAAATATAGTAAAAATTCGATCATAATAGCACTGAAGATCCTTTCGTGGATTTGGTTTAACACCGGAGATGATAAAATTTTCATAAGTTTAATCAAGAAAAAAAAGTCAGACAACCACATCAGATGAAGGTTTTTAAGGATTGTGTTCACCTGCAACTGAAAATAGAACACTGGGCAGATAAAACATGCAAGGAATACAAATTGTAGTTGGCGTGGCAAATGATCTTTTTCGACAAAGCATTAGGACGACCGCAGGTAAATTGCATAAGATAAGTTCATTTTAATGCATTTACACGGCAAAGAAAATGAAAACAGGAAATAAATTGGGATGCCGCACATTAAAGACGCGTCCAGTTTCCCTTAAAACTTAAACAAAAACGAGAGATGTTAAAGAAAAACAGGACCACTGCGCTGGCGCTCTTTTTTAATGTACCCGTTGGTAACTAAGAGGTTCACGAACAGTTTCTTAATGCGAGTTTTTCGTAATATTTATGGAGAGTGACTCAATGCAGTTTTGTCTGATTTGAAATGCTGCTAAAAACTAATTTTCTTGAAGTTTCACTGCCAAGGCCTACAAAGATCAAATTGAGATCCATTTTAATCTCGGTTTAAGGTTCAAGTAGACTGCTTTATTCGAAAGCTACTGAATAAATATGTGAGGAACTGATGAGAAATATTGTTTTAATTATGCATGCAGGGGGCATTGGTCAAATCATAGCCTTCAGCTATTCTATGAAAGCTATAATTAATAAAACAGGGCAGTCCATTCATTTTTCTAAACATTTGAATGTTCTTTTTTCAATTCCTTCATAAAGATAACAGAAGCAGGTGTCTAAGATGAACAAAGCTCTTTTAAATAATAACTTCGGCCCATACTTGTGCAGGATTTTTATCGGTTCTTCGAGCTGCAAATATCTTGAAGTCAATCGTCTTTATCGATCTCATAATGTTAACCATGTAAACCAAAGAGATTAACCAAAGACTTCGACTGTGAGCGCGCGTCTAGAGTCGTTGGTGCAATTGAAAAAGAAATCGATTAAGGTTCCTCAATCTCAAGGTAATTCAGACTCAGTTGTCCTCAAGAGAAAACGATCTTGTATAGTTTTGTACCGTTTGCAAAAATTATGAGACAATCTCTAATTAGCCAAACATAAGTTTGGTAGAGCATTCATAAATATTTCAGCGCCTCATAGTTAATCGGTAATATTTTTTCTTTTTGATGAAGTACTTGTTACCAATGAATAATTACCTGTAAATCCACGTATTTAGATTGGTTTGGCTGCGTATTTTCCTGAAAAAAGCAAAGATAACGGCGTGTTTCACAGAAAAAAAAAAAAACAAAAACAATCTAAGCAGAGAAAAAGGGTGATAAGCACGAGAATCGATGAGAATGGAAACGCAATAATATAGGCACGGGCGGGCCACCCATCGTGGCTGTTGACATGCATGAACGAAACGAACTGTGGGAATCAAGAGAATCATGCGAGAGCTGAGAAAAAAACACTGAATAATGCAAATATTACACCTGATGCGTCATGTCTGGCTTAAAAACTCAAAAAAAGTTTCCTCCTTTTACACATAGACTTAACACCAACTCTCGTACTTTTATATTAAAATACAAACAAACAGACAAACATTCAGATGATGCGCATTAGTGGAATAAAGTTCACTATATTATACGATAACCGAAATGTTTAGACCAAGAACAGCGTATATAGATGTCATTCAGGGCTGTCTTCATAACCGTCAATTTTATTTCTCTTGATATCCGCGGATTGCTTCACTTTTAAGGAACGCGTAGGGTGGCTCGCCTATGGCCTTCGAGCTAAGCGCCCTCTCTAAAGATTAACAACTCAAATCTCAAAACAATGCAAGGTTAATCTTTAAGAAGACACATAGGAGAACTTTTTTATTAATCGGATCAAATGAACCGAAGCCGTCACGTAATCGCTCAGTTCCTGCTTTAGCAAAGAACAGCCATCGCTCATCTACTCTGTTATGTAAGATGCAACAGAATTCTCGTGAAAGCGTTGGATTCACAAGGGGACATGTTGGATTGGTAAGTTGAACCCGCTCATAGATTCACTTAAAGTTTGGGCAAACGTGAAATTCTCCAGATTGTGTTATTTATCAAACTACAGCTGTCGATACATGGCGGTGTGCTGTTCTATAAAAAACTTGGTGCGCGCATCACACGAACGATCTTGGCAAATGAATGACATTTTCCTCAATCATAGTTTTTTTTTCGATGCTTTTTACCTTCTCCTTGTTTACTTTCGCAATTATCGAATCATCAAGTGAGCATTGAAGCCATTTCGGTGGATTGCGCTCGAGATATCTGTATCATTTCCATCGAGTGAAACACGAGATGAAAACACGGTACGGCCGAATATTGATAGTGTCTTCGCTTATGGTTCACAGTATGCGACAGTGTACAACTAAACATTCCGTCGAGTGCTTTGCATTCTTCGTTGACCGTTTGAAGACAACCCTGCGAGCCTCATCGCGATGTTTCTGAAAAGCAATGTAACCAAAGCGTATTATTTTGGCTTGCGAATACCCTTAAGATTGAATTTTCCGTAGTATTAACACGAGAGAGACGTAAATAAATAGACGACATTGCACTCACCTTTGGCCCTGAAATCATTGGTAGGCTTTTTTTCCTTGGGTCGCTTTTTCTGTTTGAGATACTCGACACGGTTTTCTCCAGTTTTAAATGTTTGAAATGAACGACAAGGAGTGATTCTTAGAATATGCAGACTATGATCATATGATCGATGGTTTTTTTTGGAAGGTTTCACCCGCAGAGTTCAGATAATAAGACTAAACATGTAGGCCAGCACACCTTGTTTATGATTTAAACTTTCACATAGGCGTTTGGATTCCATTTGCTTTTTTAGTGATTGAAGATAATGATAAAGCTTGTTTTTAAGTAGTAACACGAGATATTAATTCGTAAAACAACTTAACTGTTAAAATGAATTTAATCGTCGTTTGGTGTTGAATTTCTCCGCTGTCAATACATCTTGATCGTCATCGCCAACAGGGTGTAGACTAAAAATTCGAGTTTTGACCTTACCTCCACTAGCGTAAACTACGATCTTGTTATTTACAGGAAAACTCGAGTATCTAACGCTTAACTTTAAAGCAAACTCTTTATGTCAGTTATCACGTAAATCTATTCAAAGGCAGAGCTGTAGATTATCAGGAAAATAACATAACTTCGGCGTGTCTTAAAATTGTTTACGACCAGTGGGTGAAATCTGGAGAATAAATGTCATTCAACGGCAAATCGTCTTAAAAATATTAAAAAAACTTATCCAAAAAAAATTATCCATCGAAAGTGGTGTCAAATTCAGCTCCGCGAAAACGGCTTTAATACTCGATTGCGTGCTTCGGATCTGATTGTTTCATCAATTTTCTATTGTGCAGTATTGGTTTCACGTTCAAGTAGTCAGGGCTTTTTCATTTATATATCAGTTCACCTTATGAAAGATAGGAAATATTCTGCGCTAAAAAACAAACAAGTAAGACAAACATAGGTCTATGAAAAGGGGGCCAAACTGCACCAACGCAATATAGGAGCCATTTATTGCTATCTCTTCTTCCTGTTTGGTTTGGTTTAAAAAGGAGAAGGGACGTCGTCAGTACGGTCTTTTGAAGAGAGAAGAAAGCGTGATCATTATAATGTTTTGACAACTATAGAAGCTTATCAAACCACTTATATTCGCTTTACCATATTTCATTTTGCGGCTGACGGAAATGGTTACAATTTTAATCGTTTCGAACTACAAACAAAAAGCATACTGACTCAGTAAAAAACCCAATTTTAGCGTGGTCGCATCATTACTTAAAGTAATTAGGCTCTTGGTGACAATAGAAGCCTTCTCTCTTTTGAGGAAGAAAGGATAAATTTATCACGGAATAATGTGAAGATACGTCAAGTGATTCAAACAGAACGTCAACAATCTTGGCATGATTCCGGAGGTTAGAGTGCAAAATATGTTTTTGTACCACCGACGCCACAAAACCGTAACCTAAACATTCTTGACTGCTTCTTTCGTAGTTTGCTTGCCATCGGAGGAACAAATGTCTAATCTAGTGGCTTTTTGGGCGTATATGTATACGAGAGTAAATTCTTAATATGCTGCGACGGAAAAGGCACGTTTTGCACTGTAAGGCGGGCTGAAGCTTTCTGCGTAGGAACAAAGAAAAGCTTTTAGAAAAAGAATGGCATCTATCCTGAATCTACGATAGTCAGCTTCCTGAGGTAAATTATTTCGCATCGAAGTGATTTCTATTGATATTTCTAGACAGATAATCTATTACATGTTAGTTGTTCCGTATCTCGTGGACATTGGCAAGCATTACAATATCCTGAATATCCGGTATTACTATATGTAGTTCGCTCTTGTGACAACTCGAGGCAGCTTAAATTTATCCCATTAAGAAAGTGTCTTTTGACTTAAAATCGAAAGTTTGTATTTTTACTATAATTGAAGCGATACTTAATTTGTGACGGACAGATTCTCGGTGGTATCTTGAGTTGCATTTCCTGTCACGCTTTTGCTTATTCCTAAACATCTCAATTTGCTCTCAGCTTTCAGTATTATTCGTTGGGGTCCTTTAGTTCGCGGAGGTTTTTTTTTTCGAAAGGAGCTTTTGTTCCTGACGTTGTGTCTTCACCAAGCGATATGTGGCAGTTAAAATTCTAAAAATTCTTTAGAGAAATTGAACTTTGCTTCCTGTTATCCTGTTGCTGTCACGTATCCCTCTCGCAGCTTCTCTTTAAGATAAAAAGAATCTCCAAAACAATCATTACCCGAAGAAACATACATAACTGTTGTCATAATTCATAACAGTTCTAAGTTCAGCCGTAAATTATGAATATGAGAGTTGGCCTCGATAATCTTATTTACAGGTCTCTGGCTAATAAATTCAGTTCCAAAGAGACCCTTGATTAAACATGGCTTTAAAGCATGTCGAGCTGCCGTTACCTTTGCATACCCCGAAAAGGAGAAGGAAACTAATAATGTACTCGAGAAAGCAACGAAAATCGAGCGTAAAGCTCAGAGGAACGTTTATTTCCGTTTCAATTTAACTACCAGTTTGTCATAATTGTATTTCTTAGTGACAATACTTCGTTGCTGCGGAAGCTACAAATATAATGCCATGACGAAAATAGAAAAATATGGGAAGAATAATCCAAATTGGATCGAGGATGGTCCAGAACGGATGAGATTGCCGAGAAATGCAAATTACCAACTTGTAAAACGCAAGCAAACACTAACAACTTTTGAGTTCTTAAAATTTGAAGACGTATTCAATTTGACGGATGCTAGTAACCCAAGCGCACAATACTCCTGCAATGGACGGTGATGATGCATTTGTAAAGGAGTGTCAATGAGTAACATTTCAAATGTTACTTCGTGACCCTTGCAACAAAATTGCCCGCCTGTAGTGTCATTCATGACGTGAACTTGGGAGGAAATTGTTTTATGCCAAAAGAATAGATGGCGTGATGACCTAATGGCTTACACGCTGGACTGCAGTTTGGCAGATTCGGGTACAAGCCTTTGTCAGGTTGTTGTATTGGGCATTTCGGCAAAAAAATTTCACTCTCGAAATAGGGAAGATGATTTGGGATCAGTTGTAACCGATGATGAACAAGCATTTCATTTAAAAAAAAACCACTTTTGCTTCCAGTTGCGTCATGCACACTCCTCGTATTACGTTAGTTTCAGGAGCTTCAAGATTGGGTCTCATCTATAACGATGAAGAACTTAAGAAAAGGCGTCATTCCAACGAACTCTATTAAACATTCGTGGCTAAGAAATACGATAAGGAAAAAAAGCAATTCCAAGAAATCAAAACACTTATCGACAATTTCGTATTTTTCTTTCATTAGTGACTCATTGCCATGATGGTTAACGATTCCAACGGCCATGTGAATAACCAGAGCCGGGCAAGAGAGGCATTCTTCACACACACGGAGGTGATAGGATGGTGTTTTGCGTTTGGTATTGTCGATATGCTCATTGTGATGAGCAATACCCTCGCTATAGTCGTATTCACGCGGAGCAAGTTGCTACGGAAACGTACAAACTACTTTTTGCTGTGCCTGGCGATTGCAGATATGATGGTTGGTACAATATCATTACCGATATTTGTACATACTCTCGTTCTTTACACAAGAGGTGAAGAATTGGATAGCGCGTGGATCAACGTACTTCATAGATTATTGGACATTTTTTCAGGATTTGCTTCAATCTTTGCACTAACAACTATTGCATTGGAACGTTTATACTCAGTGGTTCTACCAAACTGGCATCGAACTACACCAAGTTGTCTGTATTTTATCTTGATAAGCATGATCTGGATTCTGGCGGGCGTGCATGTGTGTGTAAAAGTGCTCGTGAACGAGAAGATGATCTCAAGCAACATATTCTTGTACCTTATGCTTGTATCTTTCTTCATTTGCGTGGTGGTGATTTGCTTGGCTTATATCGGCATTTGGTTCAAGGTTAACCAGAGGATACACGAGAAAACGAAGAAATCGTTGGAAAAAGACAAGAAACTAGCAACAACACTTTTTCTTGTGTCAGCTATTTTCATCTTGACTTGGTTCCCATTCCAAGGCATCAACATCTTCATTCCAACGTTGTGTGAAAATGGATGCACTTTATCCATTCTGACTCTCGTTTTCCTCACTAAATTGATGCAATATATGAACTCGTTCATCAATCCTATTATCTACACCTTCAAGATGCCTGACTTCAGGCGAGGTCTTCTAGCTTTATTTGGAAAGAAAGTTTTATATGGGGCATCGACCCGAGCTACTTCGAGGATGTTATCTGAGCGACGCCGAAGAGCAAGCACGTTACGATCTAGTGAAACAGAGGCAAACGGCAACTGTGAGTGTGCGCTGTAACATTGTAGTGTGATCTTGAAAGACTGTTCTATAGGAGCAGTATCGTTTCAGTTACTATCCTGAGGGATGAAATGTAATGATTTGTATCTTAAAGGATTACTATCCAAGACTTCGCCAAGGCACGCGGGCGATACCATTGTGTCGAGATCTTTGTACATGCGCACAACTGGGCTATCCCAAAGTCTCCACAATCTATATAATCAATCTTCCACAGGGATCATCGCTCAAAACCGAGGCCTTACAATGTTTGAAATCTTTTTGTAGTCTCTTTTTAATTTGCGGGTTTGACAACTTTGATGAGGTTTGCCTTACTCTCGAGCTGAGTTAGAGACAGTGGTGTTCCGTTCAAAGCGGACACTGTACACTATGCATTTCTAAAACAGCAGTGAAATAAGTTCGCAAATTCCAATGCCGACTTTTTCGTTCTTAAGTCTTGCTTTTTTTGACTTTGCTTTTTGTTGAAGAAAGAAACCTCGAGGTAGAATTACAGCCTTTATAATCAAGAAACTTTTCCTCCAAAAGGCGTGGATTTTGATTGGTTCTTCATTTACAAAAGATGTCCAAAAAATTTATAGAGTAGCATAATACAACATTTTTCATTCTTGAAGGTACGTTTTTGTGTGGACGCTTACCGGCATTTCGGTTTCGTACAAGAATTTTCCGTCTCAAATTACCCTGAATAGTTCCTTTGGGTCTTTAGCAAGAAGTTGTGCAAACTAAAGTAAATGTTTGGTCTTTCGCTACCAAGAAATGATTGTGAGGCAAGCGTTCCTTCAATTTACATGTACCTTCAGCAGCTCCAAATCAAAGACGTCTTTTCCTAAGTTTTATGTCTATCCTCTACGGTATTTTGTCCTTGTGGACGTACTCAGTTAACTAAAATAATTTGCACTTATTATGCAATTTGGAATTTGTTTACATTTAAAACAAAGGTATAACTGCACTATAATAGTTCAAGGAGGTTCCACTCTAGGAGTGAATTGATTAGGTCATTTTTTTTGGAACAAAACTGACCTTTCTTTCATTAGTCAGGTGTAGAATCTCGTCCTTTGAAATCTAACGGATTAATTTGTAAGACTTGGTCGAGTCCACGGTTTATGCGGGCGAGAATAGAGATTCAGGGAGAGATTAGAATTAATACTTCTATTATCCTTTTCACCCTGACATCAGTATGCATATCCTCCATTCTGGTCACTATACACTTCCTAAGGTGCTGACAAGGAGAATTTGTTTATCAATCAAGAGCTACTCTAGTTGGAGATCATTTCCTTTATTCTCGTGACCTCAGTATATGATTCAGAAGTATTATAGTGAGGAGAATTTAGATGCTGGTCACTCTTAGGGGTCAAAGGCTAAATGTACACGGGAAGTTAGATGGTTGGCCTCGCTAAGTGAAATCAAAATATACATGGCTTAATGTACATAGCCGTAGCAATGTAGCTAAAATATCATTCTAACACATGTTAGTGCTGAGAATTTGTCTACTCTCCAAGTTTTAGACCGAGGAGGAAAAAGACATAAGCAATTTTTGGTTGCAAAACTTTAAAATTTATATGTTTAATGATATTTTTGGAGTAATTAATTTGTCATCTTAAATTTCACCGCTCAGCTGTTTTAGTCAAGGGGAGGATCAGCATACTGTTTCCTCTATCTTCGAAATAAGTTTGAAACATGAGTGTCAAGGTATGCTTCAATTTTTTGAAATGTATTAGAATTGAATTATAGTATATACGATTTTAACTTTGTAAATTTATTGAATTCGACAACGTAACGGTAATAATGGAGTGCAATGGTACTGTTATGATGAAATATTACTTTGACTTATCTGAATTAAAAATAAGATTACAATGTACGTAGGTGATGTTTCCTTTTTTTAAAATAATATTGATTATGCATATTATAGTTCCATAGCCTAGTTTTTTTTCTCTAATGCGTCCTTTAATTCGTCCAACGGGCTAAGAAAATGGATGTTGGCATGACCTGGATTTTTTCGCCAATCGCTGTCCTTCCATAATTACACCTTTAAGTCCCAGAGGTGATTAACTTGTAACTTCTCCCTACAGTATCTATAGATTATCCAGCAAACAGGTAGTGAGATTACGCAAACTTATCTTGATTGAACGCCAAATTCTCGTAACCAATTTATAAGAAAATGTGTCGCAGCTGGAGGAGAGCATTAATAATCAAATCATGGTAATTAAAGGGTCAAATGATAAGCTGAATTCATAAGTTTTTTGATTGGTTTTTACTAATGAAATATCGGAGGGCAGACACAATGGACGTCCTTATCAACTTCTCGTGTTTCTTTGTTATATAAATCAAAAATAGATTCAATGTTGCCGTGTGTCTGTTAATTGTTAGATCACTGCTCTGACGTACGTGGTGCTTTCGAGTATCTGTGCGCCTCATATGCTGCCTTTTTTCCTAAACATATGCCAGGCGACGTGGAATCTTTTGCTAACTACGACACTAATTTCAAGGTCGCCCCTTCACTTACGGCCACCTCTCTACAACTGCCACTTCCTGGTCTAACGTTTCGATTCGACTCAAGTTAACGGTACAAGATTCAACAGAATACCATCGTTTACATGATATTTTTCACAGTTTATCTACGAGTTCACCATAGTATCACTTTGATTTCCTTTTTCCGTCATTATCGGTGAAATGTGAAGTTGATACCTGGCAATAGGCCAGTCAGAGGTATCTCCCAAAAGAAAAAGATGATCTCAACTCTACTACTCAGCATGTTGCTCCTCAACCATAATGACAGAAGTTTAGTCGAATGGCTCGAGAACTGCGTTGTACGATAAAATAATTAGTACAACTTTTTCGCCATTGCAGCTAATTCTTTCTCTTCCTGATGAAAAGCAAAGTCAGTGTGTGATTTACAACCTTAACAATCTGACCACATGGTGTCTTGTTGAAGAGATTTCTTAAGTCATCAAGCAACTGTAATTTCATAAAAGTAGGCTTGCAAAAATATTGTGCAATTTGCCTGAGTTTTTATAACACACTTCGAAAGCACGCTTAGAGTATTAGTATATTCTAGGTAAGTAAGGGCTCGTAAGGTAATTGGGCTCGTCCAATGCCGAGATTTGCTGTTATTGAATCAAAAATCACTCCCCTATTAGCCTACGCATCTAAAAATTCCACTGGAACGAAGACTGATTGGCTGGAGATGGGGAAAGAAAACATGCCTCCAACCTTGAAAGGTCCGGTGGCTGGTTTCCAGTTCCGGTTTTGTCTAAATGAAAAAAACCTTTAGTGGTTCTAGACTGTGGTTGATTTACTTCGAACCCAGCCGTCACTAACGGAAGTCGTTTACAGATTGTCTCGATGATACATCACTCACGCTGATTTTTCTTAATTCAAAGCTGCGCTTTGGTTAAAATCATCCACTTACATCAATTGTTTTTCTCCAAAAATTTCACTCTTGATCGCTCTCTGTTGAAATCCCAGCTGGAATATACCATTACCTCAGATATCTCAGAAATTATGAATTCAGAAGATTGCAGGATATAAAAATTTTCGGTGTGCAAGCTTCTAAGGGTGAAGTCAGCTTTGAAATTTTTAAATCCAGGGTAATATATTCTTACCAGAAAATAAAAAACTCTAAATGAAACAAAATAATTTGTGCCGTGCTGGATGGTAAAAGAGAGAATGTTCTAGAAGGAATTATGGTGTACGCTCCATGCCTTCCGAACTCTCAGATTTGGCTGAAGTTAAGAACGCATAATATAATCTAGGTTTTCGAAATATTAAACACAAACCAGCGAAGAAACAGGAAAACCCTGCCAAAAATTTTCGGTACGGTGTACGTAAAAACAGTAATAATTAACTGTAAACAAAACTACATAAAGACAGCGAAAAATTCCGTTGAAAAATTAGACCGGTTTTCAATAATAATTGTAAGTCAGATCTGATTACATTCAGGTGACCAACCAAAACCGCTTGAGATACTTAAGACAAAGGATTGTATAAATACCGTGGGGTTGAAAACAAAAGTCGAAGCTTGGTCACAGTGTATGCAAATAAACATCGCCAGCGTCAATGTAAATTAGCAAGACTACTTAATCCTTGAAGTTCATCATTTGGCGATGCTCCAGCGTGACACTAGAAGCAGCAAGGAAGCTTGAACTCTTCGAAGGATCAAGAAAAAGAAAACAGGAAACACTACACTGGAAAGCGAATCTAATCGACCAAAATTCAAGTACGTGCTATATCACTAGATATTTCCGACTTATTGAATGATTTATAGGGGTCTAGAATGGGAACTCAAACTCGCCAAGAAACCGAGACACTCAAAGTAGTAATTTTGCACGCAAGATCGATTAACAAATCTTGAAACATTCAGAGTTTCCCGAGACCGATTCTGAGAATTTAAAACCTTTGGATTAAAGGATATGAAGTGCAGTTCACACGAAGTCACGGGGGAAAAGTACCGTGAGCATAGGCTTCTAATACAGTCAATACAACCGAAAGATATTTCGAATACCGTGGAGAAAAGTAAATAGTTGTGAATGATCGTTCGATTTATGGTATTCAAAACTCCACATCCATCGACAGATTTGCAATTTTGATTTTTTTTTTCGGTTTTTCAATGTGAGCAAGAAACTTTGGTAGATCATATATCTGGTATTATAAGCAACTTTTCTCGAGTATTCCATATTTACTCTGGTACGTTTTTGTGACCTGAGAGCAAACGAAAATGATTACCTGCCTAATTAATTCTTTATTATATTGGCTTTACAGAATTAAAATTGTTTGGGTCAAATCCCAATTATGATCCATAAAAATTTAATTGTTCGATACAGCGAGGGATTCAAGCCAGACTAGTTTTATCTGATTTCTTGATGATCTTAGCAATAAGCTTTCAGGTGCATGGACATAAGAGTGTTTGCTTTTCAAAAACTATACGCCAGACTCATTTTAATTCAGCCAATCAATCTAACCTATGCACACAATAAATTTTTTATCAGCGTCTTGAAAAGATTTTTGAAAAGCGTTGAATCCTGCTGTTGTCTTCTGCCAGTGATCAATGAATTTTCAAAAAGGAATCCCGTCAGGTGCCAATCTTAATGTGAAAGGAGTTGAAAGCGCTATTTACTTCAAAAAAAAGTACGATATATACATATTTGTATTCTAACAGTCACTATTCAAGACAGAAAATTTAACTTTTGGAATCATCTTGATTTCATGGTCTAAAATTCAATTAAGCGTCTAAGTTCACCCTCCAATGAAAATACCCAAAGCCACTATGCATCACAATGAGAGCTATACAGCTGTAAGTGTGATCTTGAATTATGCACTTTCACATAAATCATGGCCTGTATGATGCTCTTTGGACGTTCAATTAGTAAAGTTTTACATTATTTTCGAGACTATGACATTCAATTGCGCAAGTTGAGGGGAAATAATTTTTCATTTTGTTTGTTATTAGGACAGGAAGTTTTCTATGTTTTTTAATTAAGCTTGCTTCAAAACAATTTTTTTCGTCAAGCTTACTTGCAATCTTTTAGAGTCTCTTTTGAAATATTTATTAGCAAAAATAATAAAATGACATCTCGGCATGGTTCTCCTTTCATCTTTCAACTTTTCTCGCGAATGTTCCACATAAGAAATTCATTGCAATAAGGTTTGTTTTTAATGATCAAACACTCCCTTACAATTTTACTTGATACTTATATTTGCATCTGACAGGCTGAAATTGATGTTGTTGGTTTTCAAGTGTTAAAGGAAGTCACAAACCATTTCTGACTGGGCTCATCGAGCTTCTGACAATTTTCCTTTCAAATAATCCAGAAAAAAGGTAATAGCAATTAATTTTCAAGAGAATCGGTCATTCATTTCTTTTCCTCGATATCTTTATTTGGAGAATAGAGCCAGAAAATATTCGCAAAAAATAAAACAAAATCATGCTTCTCGCTGAGGAAAAACCTTTAGCAACACAACTTAATCCATACTGCTCATTCCGAATTCGACCAGCATCTAAGAAAAAAAAGGACATTTGTTTATCCATGTTAGTCAACTGCTGTTGAATCGTTTTCTTACATTGAGTCATCTACTGACTTATGAGCAGCTACAATTATTTATCGATCATTTATCCATTTATTCAGTTGTTGGGCTACCAATCCATCTACTCCTTATCACTTCCTCCGTTCATTGATCGCCCGTTTACTCGTTTCATGCTAAGGGAACCTAACCTGGAAATGGTAGAAAGTTTTCAAGAGAGATTGTTGCTGCAAAAACTATTAGCATTTTTAAAGTTGAACCGATTAGAGTCAAAAGAGAACGCCTCTGGTGTAATTTAAATAGTTCGTGTTTATTTAGGCAGTTCATCGGATATATGATAAATACTTCAATCTTGCTCATCTTTTCGTCCCCTAGGGTTGAATATGGTCAAGAAGGTGATTGCGGACTCGAATGGCCTCAAAAGTCCACCTCTTAAAAGTTAATTTATTCTTTACTGTGTATCTATCGTTTCAGTATGAACGTCACACGAGTCACCCCAAATTTGCGATCTGTCAATAGCACCTTTAACCAGGATCCAGGCATGGAAACATACCAGCTGATAATCCTAGTGGTGTGTTATTCCATTGTGTGTCTCGCCATTTTGACCGTTAACTACCTCATGGTGCGAGCCTTTATTACAAATCAATCGCTACTATACCATCAGAGATACTTCCTGGGCTACCTCGCCTGCGCTGATCTTGTGGTGGGACTGGCATCGATACCAACCTTCTTGTACAACATGACTAACTGGCCAAGTTACAGCTTTTACATCTATGAAGCATCTGACTGTGCCTCTGGGTTTGGCTCAGCCGGCATTCTCGTGGCTCTATCAGTACAAGCATTACGTTCAACATTCAGGTCCCCGACTCGGTACGCAGGTTATCCTAAAAAGCGCAATTTTTATCTCGTCATCGCGGGCTCGACGTTTATTGCTGGTGGTGCTGTGGCTTTTAATGTTGCATGTCTAATGGATTACGTTTCATTCTTCGTTTACTTCTACTTAGCAGTTGGTTTACTCGCTATAACCGCCCTCTTCCTTATCTTCACGTGCACAGTGGTAATGGTTTCTCAGCTGTATGGCAAAGTGCGTGAAACTGATCGCGACGAAGACAAAAAAATTGTAAAATCAGTGATAGCATCATGTGCCGTTTATGTAGTTTTATGGGCCTTACCTTATACAGGTTTTACATATTATAAATTTTGTAACTTTTGTGTCCCTGTTTCCATAATGTTTCTGTACAGTGTTAGAATCGTTTTGTATCTGAAATCAATTTTAATGCTCGGATTTTATTTCTATACCATCAGTTCACTTCATAGAACTGTGAAGAAAATCCTTACTTATGACTGTCTTGGAATACCGAGATATCGCTACACCAGAAAAAATTAATTGTAACTGATCTTTTACAATGTCTCAAACGCGTTTTACTGAAACACTAGCGTTTTCGAACAGGTCTCGAGGCGAATGTGCTCAGCGGCATCAGCATATAGCGATAAGCAAGTATTGAGACTGATATATTATTTGGTTATAATTCACGTTTGTAACAAGATCACAGGCACGAAAAACCTGTGAGGACTTTGCAATGTTGAGGTTTCCTTATATCCCCTTTTTTAATATAAGTAAGTGCTTCAGCACAGCATGTCTAATAGAAACATTCAAAAGAGCTGAGTGTGCGCCCTTAAAAAAAGCAACAATATAACCAATCATAACACATTTTTGAACACTAAAAATGATCTTATCTGCCTCGGTCAGAAGACAGTTTTCAATCGTAAAACTAAACTTTACTTGAGCCAAACTTTTGGCTTGACTGCAGAGTGAGTCTTGCAAATATAATTCTTCTCGATTCTTCAATTCAAACGTAAGCTTTTGACATGTCTGATGGATGCTTAATTTTACCAATAAATGTGGCCGAATAACGGTTCATAACGATGTTCACTTATCAAAGGATAATTGAAAAAAAGGTACAGATTGCGGTTTAAGTTGCTGAGCCCGAACTTGCGTCGGCGTTGCTTCTCATCAATCAGAGCTAAGATCAAGAAGAGCAAAGTTTTCACCTCCTAACCCGACCAAATTTTAAGCTTTGTAATTGCCCTGTGAGGCTGGCGTCGTTTAAGTGGTGACCTGGACTCGCCACAAGAACTGTTTAACCAACTTCTTTACTACCTTTTTAATTCCGCAGTCGTTCTTCAAGATGTCCCGCTGTTTTTTGAAGCACTGGCATATTTGTTTCCTCGACAAATTGATTTCATACTCTCAACGGCGCCTTTTTTCAAACTCATCTCAGCAAAATTTATGAATTTTAATGATTGCTCAAACGCGTCTATCACAAACCATTTAAATAGAACAATACGATTTCTCAAGAACAGCTGAAATTAAAAATCATTCATAGATAATCAGTGAAATTGCTGGTCTTTGTTCCCTTATTTAAAACATTTTTAGTGTATATTTCTAAATCTTGCTTCTTTTGGGGTTCAAAAATAAAATATGAAGGACAAAAACAATATTGGTTCAAATTCAGTTTTTGATCATTTTTTCATACTTCGAACAGTTGAGATGTCCGATTTGATTTTGAAATCATGGCGAAACACTAAATTGTTCTGAAAAGCAATATAGCTATAGCTGTATTCTTGTGCGAAATGATCAGTGCTTTTCATTTAAACGGTGTTTAACTTCGTGTTGTGAAATTAAGCGGGGTTTGGCTAAACTCACTAACTCTCTTCTCTCTCCCTCCCCTCCCTCCCCCCCTCCCACAAAAAGTTAGACTTTGAAATGTTTAGAGTGAATCTGCAATTCAGAATATAATAACAATCGTTTACGTAAATCACTCCTCTCTTACACTTTGCCACCAACCAAAAGATTAGAATCTCTTGCTCCAATATAATTATCACTGACCTTAATGGAAATCAAGCCTGTTCTGCTTAGTCTTAGAGAGGTTGTTTACTACATTTTGATCTGTCAGAGGAATACAAACTAAACAAGGTTTGCCGCACATTTCTTATCTTTAATATCAAGTAAAAATTAATTTTATGTCGTCATTATATAAGCAGTTCGGGATTGAAATCATGGATTGAACTTATCGACTTAGAACGATTAGCGAAAAGTTGTATTACCTTAAAGTAAATGATGACTTCAAAGTGGATACCTCGTGATCAGTGTGAAAACTTTTGAAAAATACGGTTTTAGTTCAGGGTAGAAAACTTTCGGTCATCACATGAATCGTGTTGTTTAGGGTAATGCTTAAGATCATATTCGTATTTTCTCATGTCTGTATGATAAGCAAAAAAAAGTAAGGTTCGCTTTAATTAAATGGGAGCTGAGGAATTAAAAAATCAAAATTTCCAAGGACTAAGGCTTGGAAGGGCTAAGGGCTAAGACTAAGAATGTTTTTTGAAAACGCAACTTTATTGTTGCGGATTGGCCTTCCGTGCGCACGTATCCGGTGAATAAGGTTGAAAAATCCGCAAATTTTTTAACGCTTTCCGGCGTGGATTTTGTTTTGAATACGCATTATAAACAGCGTCGTGTGCACTAAAACGATTCGAAAACTTTACTAGGGGACGTCAATGTATTGAAATAAGCATCGTAAAAGTTGCGGTTTCAAAAATATCCATATACGTATGGACAGGGCCTTAATTGCAGTGACTATCTTTGCCATAGAATTACAACGTATTGAATGGTAGAAGAATGGGAAATAAATTGGTACTTTGTTGAATGGTACTCAGAAGATTTAAAACCCCTCGAAAATGGTTGTTAATTTCCCTCTTTTTTAACTCTTTGTCCGCTTTAACAACCTTTCATTAGGGCATTTTTTCATTTCGAGAAAACGATGCGAAATGAAGAGATGTCAATTTTTTAAATAGGGTGATAAGCTGGGGAAATTATCAAAAAACCCTTTGTTTGAATGATTTCATGATATTTGCAGCAAACATCGTTTCAATGTACGTACTTAAAAAAAAAACCAAGACAAGGTTTTATCTTTTGTGACAGAAATCCAATAGAATCATGGATTACTACCGAGCTGCAGAGATTTTTGGATTGGGATCATCTATTTGGAAGTTTTGGGGTACAGTTTCCGCTACAATGAGTTTCATTGTCGTGCTAGTTAACACCTTGTTGCTGCATACTTTCATTAAGAATCCGTTGCTCAGGAATCGGAAACACATGATGGTTGTCAATCTTGCTGTTGCTGATCTTATTTATGGACTCCTGGGAATACCATCACTCATCTTCTCCATATTCAATCCAACGCCTATCTCTATTATTGTGTCAAGTGGAATGATCACGTTCACGAAATCCGCTTGTCTGTTTACTCTTAGTGTGATTGCAGTGGAGAGGATGTATTCAGTGGTTTGGCCGATACGTCACAAACTGATGAATAGCAAAGCTTACAAAGTAGCTGTTCTGGCAATCTGGATCTTTTCTATGGGCAACACCACTCTTTCTATTTATCGGCGAGATAAGGTTTCCAAGTTTTCTCCTTTTTTGCAGCCAGCTGCGCTGTTTGTGATAGTTATAATTACATCTACTTGTTATTTACGCATTTGGATAACTCTTCGACGCAGAGGACAGTGCAGAATCGGCACAGCAGCCAGACAAGACAGATCATTGGCCCTAACTCTATTGCTGGTCACGGGAGTTTTCTTGGTCACGTGGGGAATTCCCATGACCTGTGAGCCAATCTTCCTGTTGTGCAAAAGTTGTGACCACTTTTCTGGTTGGTATTTCATGTGTGCAACGCTCCTACTTGCGGTACAATCTTTGGTGAACCCAATAATTTATTGCTTTCGAATGCCTTTGTTTAAAATGGGCCTGAAAACGAGGTTGCAAGAAATAAAATCTTTCCTACATATCAAACCAAGAAGATCGATAAGATCCAGAAAAGTGGTAGCTGGAACAAAACTGCCTGAAAATTCCTCGGTAATTGAAGTAAGTGCGAGCAATGAGCCCCTCGGTTGACTGAAGATAGTGTCGACCAACTAATGACCGGATTTCTGTTCCTTGGTGCTTTTGAGATGCAGTGGAAATGTGGTGGGAGGTTACTTGTTAAACAGCTGAAACTGGTCATAAAAGACCTTCTACCTGAATGAGAGTTAAACCATTTTGAGTTAAATCACTTTATCATCTGAAAATTCGACAGCTCTCTTAGATGAAACAAATAAATGACAAAACCGGGAATTTGATCAAAAGAGGCAACGTAAAATTGCTCTTTCCCTCTCCGAAGGGAAAACAGTCTTGCATGGTGTATACCGTTCCATCCTTTCTTAGCGTATTTTACTTGAGAAGCCTTCGAAATGCCGCTAAATCTTGCATTTCTGAACTGATCCGCTAGATATGGTTGCTATTTTGCCAAGATAATTTTGGAACTTGAAGTTCACTGTGTTTCAGTGACGCCCATGGCCTGGTGACCTGGAGAACTTCTTCTCCACATTCCTCGATACTTACAGACACTTAAGTTACATCTACAGGCTCTTATTTTTTTCCTGATCTACAAGGATAAATGAATCCAACAATGAACTCTAGAAAACAAGATAAGTTATTTGTCTTTGACAGTCAAATAAGGCAAAAGTAAGAAGAGAAATTCGTCCAGTAAGAACCAACAAAATGACCAGTTCACAGTTGGCTTGTTAGCTCAGTTTGTAGAGCACCGCACCAGTATGATAGAGGTCATGGGTTAAAATCCCGTACAGGCCTGAGTTATTTCCAGGCCATATTTTCACTCCTGTTTTAGTAGTGTTCATTATTGGGAAGATCACTTTCCTATTCATTTCACAATCCGCAATTCACATATACGACTTTCATATACTCACAGTCATTTAAGCAGGTAAAGATTTAAACAATAGAGATGTTATTTGATCGAACTATCATAATTGATAAACGAACGGCATCTATATAGCAACAACAAAACGCTCTGTGATTTAAAAAAAAAAACTCACCGAAGTTTTCGACCTTAATGACGCAAGGTTTCAAAGCAAGGGAATTTCCCGTCATTCTTTTTCATCTTGACCATCAATTTGGTATTACAAATAGTAGGAGAAACCTGTCTATAAATATTTCCTGTGGATGCATCTCTTTTTCAAAAGCACAATTTTTTTAATCCTCTTTTTCTTCCCTTATAATGGCTAGTTCTCGTTTCTACAAATTAATTTTTAATTAGAAGAAATGAAATTATTTCTGTTGACAACAACAGGAGAATTAATATCTCACTTACACGAGCTGTTATCACAAGTATAAACAATAGACTTTTCTAACAAAAATATCACACTTACTTCGCGTTAGGCAATACGGTTACAAGTACACACAACATAATTGTTTTTGTATCTTTAATACTCGCTTGACTCTACTTGATTTTTGTAGGCATCATTAACATCTGTTCACGCACTCGCACGTAAGGTATTTAGAATTAATGTATATTTGGAGGTGTAACAACAAGTTAGAACTGGTTAGTGGTTTGGACACGAATCGACTGCATTTGGGTATGAGAGGACCGCCGTTACGAAGTGACTGGATACCTTTGATGTTTTGACACGTGCGTCGATTTTGCCCCCTCTTTTGTCTTGTATTCAATTAAAACAGAGTTCACATTACTATTGGTTGATACTTAATAAAATAAAATGTCCATCCTTTTCCTTTCAGAAAGTTGCGTTTTCCATTGGACATCCCATCCAATTAATCTTTCTATATTCTTTGAATATGCGTAGAGGTTGCAATTTATAACAAATTATAGGTAACATATTTTTCATTTAAAGTGAAATCCTTTATAAATGCCGCCAATGAGGGAAGGAAAAAAAATTTCCTTTCTATCCGGCCCTCTATCCGGAGGGCTTCGAATTCACCATTCCTGGTTCAGATTGTTTTCTGCACTTGGCGCGGTACTTTTAGAAAGAGGAATACTCTTGTTGCTTTTGCACTTCGCGCGGGGCTTTTAAAACTAGAAATACACTTGATGTTTATGCACTTGGCACAGTACTTTTGGAAAAGAGGAATACTATTGTTGTTTTTGCACTTAACGCGGTGCTTTTAGAACGAGGAATACACTTGATGCTTATGCCCTTGGCGCGGTACTTGTAGAAATAGGAATACTCTTGTTGCTTTTACACTTCGCGCGGGGCTTTTAGAACGAGGAATGCAATTAATGTTTACGCACTTGGCGCGGTACTTTTAGAAAGAGGAATACTTCTGTTGCTTTTTCACTTCGCATAGGGCTTTTAGAACGAGGAATACACTTGATGTTTGCGCACTTGGAATAAGAGCTGGAAAGAAGTGTTCACGTGGGTTGCGACATCATCCAACAAAATTGCAGGCATCGTCAACAAAAAAAATATGTCATACCTCGAAGGTCTGATTTTAAGCAGAGTTAGCCGAAAAATTACATTTTTGATACCAGAATCATAGTGGTCTTAAATTCCTGGGTTGCATCCAGCCGGGTAAACGAGAGCAAGACTGGACAATCCGGATCCATCGACTCCGCAATTTCTAATTGATTCTGTGGACCCGACGCATCTTTATTGCGTCGTTTGAACGCAAAAAGATTGATAAGTCTCTCTCGAAATTCCGGCATTTGGAGACAGTATACGATCGGGTTTACATAAGAATTTGCCAATCGACAAAATTGACCTGCAAGGTAGACTTCTCCTTCTACATCATGTGTTGTGAAGCGCAACACATTTGCAATTCCATGCGGAGTCCACGTGATCAGCGACAATAATGTAACTATGAAAAGAGTTTTGGTCAGTTTATTATGGTTCTGTTCCCGATTTAACTCGACCCTTGGAACTCTCTTTCTAGAATAAATGAATATTGTAAGATATGCCGCTGTAATGATTATCAAGCATGTTGCCGTGTACGTTGATATTACGATAGGTTGAAGTAAGATATAAAGTGCAAAGTACGAAAAAATGGGATACGTTATTATAATCAGCATGGCTGAGACGGTCCAGGTTGTTCCAATAACGAAGAAGTACGTTTTCGTAGCTATCGTGCGGTGTCGTAAAGGAAAGGTAACGGCGTGAAGCCTTTCTAAAGCGATTACGACTAAGAATGACAACGAAGCCATTCCAAAAATGGCGTCAGCTACATTTGTTTTTTGAGTCACCTTGCAGGCGTCATTTTTGTAGCGAAGAGCGAAACATACAATATCCTCCATTACTCCGACACCAATGAACAAATCAGCAACGGAAAGGTTTATCAAAAAGAACCGGGTCCTATTCAAAGTGGATCTTTTCTCCCAAAATATGGCGATAGTGACAGCATTTCCCACAATGATTGCTACACTTTCTACCGCGAACGCTGTCGTCCATAGTGCTAATTTAGAGTGCGTGAAGTTTGCTGCCATCTCTTCACTAGCCAAAGCTAGGGATATCGATGTTGGCAACGTTACTCTTTCAATGCAGTTTCACAGTGTGCTAGTCTTAAATGCGGTGAATCCGCTTTGTTTTGTTTTCGCACCTGCTTTCTACAATATGATGTCAATCTAGCAGCAATTCACAGACCTTGGCCGGCAAATGCGACTTGATGATTATTATGGATAATAAAGCAGCTTTTCAGGCAGGTAAACAAGTTATTGCTTTGCTGATGCCAACGCTGTATTTTGATTAAAAACTCATTTCAAAAAAACAGGTAATCTTGTTTTGGCATGACAGCTTTCAAAAACAGCTGAGAGGTTACATCGGAAATTCTGTACTAAACTTCTGCTAATTACATATGCTAAACCGCGTACGCGAAAATGAGTTCTTTACCGTATTAATTCTGAAAATTAAACGAAACATTTTCTGATAAGTTAATTTCAAGAAGAAGTTTTTTTTATTTTGCTCTTTACATCTCAGAACTCTAGCTTCCTGAAGTTTTCATATATGTAAATACAAATGGCAACCAATGTTTAGAAAAAATGACGAAGGACTAACGCTCGAAAGGTCAGCTTTTTTACCCTTTACGGTGGCCAATTTACGTTTTCATCTCAGTTGTCAACACTAAATTACCTGCTATACTCTCCCACCGACGCAGCACCACAGCTTCTTTAGAAACTTGCCCCTTTATTCAACGTTAAATAAAATCGTTTTAAAGGAACTATCAATAAGTTGAGCATGAGTTTCGACTTTCCCTTTGTTATTATTTTTAGAGTAGCCCTTTATGTCTTCTCTCGAAGACATAATGCCTTCATTGTGAAAAATGACATAAACTGAAAGAAGGCCAGTTAGAACGTTTACATTACCGGGGGAAATCAGCTTGTTTGACAAGGATCTCTTTTCCTTGATAAAGAGGATTTAAGACGCAGTCTCTCTAAAATAAAGCGGTACGGTGAATTTCGCTTCGAACAATCGATTTCTTTCAAACTTTGCACGTGAATCTGTCTTAGTCTAAAAGTATTCAAAACCACTTCGGTTTTTCATATGTTTCAAAATAATTACTTCAGCCCTCAAAGGTCCATATTCAACAGCGCCGATCATTTAAGTCTAAAAGTATTCAAAACCACTTCGGTTTTTCATATATTTCAAAATAATTACTTCAGCCCTCAAAGGTCCATATTTAACAGCGCCGATCATTAAAAATGGTGCAAATTGCCTCGCTCGTCTAACAACCTTCTTAATCCCGAGACATGGTGCTGATATTCTTTAATTTCATAGCTTCAAGTTACAATCAAGTAGAATCTTTGGAGTTCAAGAATGAAGACAAAAGCAGCTGCAACAGCGGGGTAGTTCGGCGAACGAAAGCTGAACGAAAGTATTGGGCAGTAAAAATGAATATGATTGCAGATCGTTAACATTGACACCTTGGCAGACATTTGCCTCCCAGCTCGCTTCAAGAAAATATTTGAATGCGGAGATGTATGGAAAAAAAAGTCCCTGAGACTGGTCCCATGGGAAAAGGAGGGCAGGGGGGGGGGGACCTCAGGTCTGAATATTAAAAAAAAAGTTTAACCGTTGTTTAACACAACCGCGTCCCAAACAATCTACAATTTAGCTGAATCTTTTATCTGAACATTCATATTCGTGCACAGCGTCAAGAAGACCGAAAGCTGACAGCAGAAGAACATCTATTTAATTAAATCAACTCTCTTATAGAGAAAGTCTGAGGCCCGCTGATTGCGTAAAACCGTCGTCTGGGTAGACCTCTCGCAAATAACCGCCCTAGTGCTCCTCAGCTTCGCCTGGGGAAAACGAAACTCACTGTGCACTGGGCCGGGAGGCAGCTATTAAGCGCTTGATTGTGACTAATTAGGAGGAAACCTAGCTATTGTTCAGTGAAAAGTTGCTGTCCACAGGTTGCCATCGGCGAGTTAAAAATCAAGCTTTTCCTAAGGTCAGGATTTAACCTTCATAATTAGCGTTTTTAACGAAATTAAAACTTTTCAAGGCCAGGAAAGATGTTACGTGCAAAATCAGTGTTCAACCAAAGCCAACATAGCTAAAGAGGTTGGTAGCATGAAACGAACTGGACAGAATCTTAAATCATGGCCCTGTCAGAGGGTGCTGACAGGCGTAGCAAACAAAAAAATCGTTAACCAACGTGAGTTTTCGCATTCTGGGCGTCATTTCGGAAGAAGCATTTTTTTCATGCAATTGTTCTATGCATACATAGTCACAATAACTTAAGTACAACGCAACGCCCTTATGTATAGTGTCTAGGTGTCTGCGTTTAGAGGGAAATTAATTTTTTTTCCTCCTTTTTGCTTTTTTTTCTTAAAGACGCACATCTTTTTCTCCGGTCAGTACAATAAAGGTGGACATTCTGTCTTTTCCCCTTTACTCGGCTAGACCCAGACACTGGAGTCAACTATTTAATAAGGTCTACCGTTCTCATTTCTATAATCATGATTACTATTGTTCTTATTGATACCAATTTTTAGGCGAACTGCTTAACTCTCAAGATTAACATTTTATACAATTGTCGTCATGTGACACGTGTGAGGTTCCTAATTAATTTTAGAACGAATATTTTTCAAGAACTCAAAATATTTTATATTGTCGCCTTGCTCAATTGTCTCTATAAACAGGTGTCCATTGGTTGATTGGTACCGACCAACGGAGAGGGCCAGGAGAGCTCTAGCATCAGTTTGCCACCTCACATGACTCGTGAGCGAAGAAACGCACTTGCAGCGGCGCTTATATTGGGACCCGCTCCAAGCTCCAAACTTGATAGCTCTAACCCTAGTTCAAACGACTTCCAGGCCGCCATGATTTTCTCTTACTACTGAGGTTGGCAATTCAGTTCGTGTTCCTTTCTTTCTTGACTCTAACGAAAGCCTCTGCAGAAAACAAACAGAATATTTCATCTCTCGCAGCCTCGCTTTCAAACTCATCCTAAACTTAGGCAGCCTGAAGCAATAAACTATTGGGTTGAGAAATGATTGTAGCGCTACCAACGCGTTAAAAAGGTGGAAAAGAAGCGGATATGTAATCTTGTAACAGCTGTCACAGATCTTTGAAGCTGAAAAATAAGTTATAGGAAGTGCCCACATGAGCACAAAAACCCCTGTAATAAGCAGCAACGTGTGCACCAATGATTTATCCTTTCGGGTCGCTGCACCGTGCACGCTCTGTCGTCTGCGTTTAACTTTTATCCAAATGCACACGTAACAAACAATTGTTATGCTAATTACACCAAAAATTGTCATTGGCAGGAAAAAGACAAATCTAACAGATTCGCCAAATGCATCCGTATTGTACAATTCCAATGCAGTCACGATGCCGGACAGTATCCAAATTCCCACGAGAGCAATTTTGTGGACACGACCACTCATAACTTTGTGACGTAAGGGCCAGACGACTGCATGCATTCGTTCCACTGCAATCACACCCAGAGTAAAAAGGCATGCTGCTTTCGGAAACGTGTACGACGCATTTAACACATAAATGGAAGTAATTGTTGGTTTGAATATCAGGTAAATAAGAGACGATATTCCGAGGGCTCCAAAAATGAGATCAGCGACTGCGAGATTGACAACCATCATGTGCTTTCGTGTCTTGAGGGACGGAGTCTTGATGAAAGTATACAGTGACAAGGAGTTGACAAAGACGATGATGAAACTTTCAACAGCATAAACTCCGGTCCAAGCCCGTAAAGTTCCAGTTGATAACGTTTGAACAATCTCTTTTGCTTGGCGAATATCCATTGATGATTGTTCAGATTTCTATGAATGAATCATGGTAGGGAAGAAATAAATAAAAGGACTAAGTGCAAATGAACAAAAGCCTTAGCATACGATATGCAAATTCCAGACTGAGAAAAAAAAAAATGGAACATTTCCCGGTGCAAATCGTAATCGAATCGGCCAGTTGCTCATATGCGTATAGACGAATAAACATTGTTCTGGCTCGTGTATCGAGTGGTAAATAACTGTGTTAAATAGATATGATGCAGAAGTAAGTTTTGAAGGGGTTGTTTAAGTTGAAAATATAGTAGGACAGAGTTAACAGATCACGCTGATTGACACCCTAAACATTTTAAAAGTCAAAAAAAAAACACTAAACTCTGGTCAAAAACTCTGTCCTACTATATTTTCAACTTGAAATGGCCAAAATCTAAGATTTATTGAGCTACTTATATAAAACGGTCAGAGTTTGCTCAATGAATAATTTGCATAATCGGCTGTCACGCTAGCAAAATCGCTAAAAGTTTGAAGTCACCACGGCGAAAAAAATTAATAAGTGCAAGATGTTTTTATATTTTTCTGCTGCCAAACATCTTATTAGAAGAAATCAAGCGGAGTTTTCAATGGTCTGGTCTGGACTTGAGCAATATCAACCAAGAAAGAAAGAGTACTTTTGACCAATTTCAGAAAGCTGTCTAACGTGTGTCATTAAATAAATCATGACGAACCTCTGACTAAACGAATATCAAAATTGAAATGCTTTTTATACACCTTACATATCACACAGTCTAAGAATACAAAAGATCTTTTGCTGCATGCGGTGTGATACGAGAACCGGGCTTTTTAACTTTTGAAATTTTCGATGTCGCAAGCGGTCAAAAAAGTGACTTTTGCAGCTTTGACTATTAAGAACTCTAAAAAATTTTATGTTAACGTATTTCCAGAAACTAATGTGGTTTTATTTACTTGCTACCAAAGATAGATCATTGGGCAAAGTTTTAAGGAAACTTTATTCCGATGCGAAATGCCCTAGACCGCCGTTTATAGAGATCGCCTCTTAATTCGCAATAAGGTAATTTTCTAAAGAAACTGTGGTGCTGCTTCGGTGGGAGAGTATAGCAAGGTAATTTGGTATTATCAACTGCGTTGATAATGTAAATTGGCCACCGTAAAGAGTTTGAAAGCTGACGTTTGGAGCGTTAGCCCTTAGTCAGAGCGACAGGCGAAGGGCTGACTTTCGAAAAGGTTGGCCAAAACGAAACGAAATCAATTATCCTGTTAATTTTGAAAAGGTGTTAGTTTAGGTGGGTTACAATGCGAAACAAAAGAATCATTTTGGTCGGGATTATCGCTATAAGTTGTTTCGTTTTTGTGAAAGAAATGTTTTGTTTTTGAAATCATTATGATATACTTCTTTTCTTATGAAGTAGTTTGACACTTTTTCTTATGAAGTAAGTTGACACTTTTACATTGAACGCGAGATAGACGCAATTTTCATGTCGCTCAGAGTCAATAAAGTGGTCTTTTCATCTATCATGCTTGGATCATGGGATATTTAAAAAGAATTCGACCTAACAGTCGCACTTTAGCGATCGCAGCGGTAAAATTTAAACCACATAAACATTCGCAACCAGAAAAGAAAAGATTTTTAAAACTCAAAGTTTTGAAAGCAATTTGTTCACGTCTAACACTCTTTCTGTATCCTACAATAAAACAAATACGCAAGTGTCCTTAGCAACTGTCAAAATAGCGTTCATATTCATATTTCAAATGACCCTTGAAGTCTCTTTTACAACAGACTTACACGTCTCGCTATAGTCCTTCACTGTACATGGTTTCGTCAGAAAGGCGAACAGGCCAAAAACGACCGGCAAAATCAGAATGATTATTTTAATTAACCGAACAACGTCTCTTGAAGGATATATTTATTTGACATTCGCGATGACTAGGAAAACCTCAAATTAAAAAACTCTATGTCAATAAATCATTTAAGCAGGCTGCGTTCATAAAATTTCAGAATGATATTGGAAACGATATGTGTTCCGCTCCTCCCCGATTCAGCTGATTCAAATGAGACTTCGTCCAGTATGGTCTTAAAAAAAAAAAAACAAACAGGACAGCTTTGATGACATGTTTTTTTTATGCAAACCTTCTCTCTCAAATTAAAACAGCACACCTTAAAACAAATTCTGAAAACGAAATTTTACGGTGTTTATTTGAGCTTCGTTGAAACTTCAGACTAGAGTAATTCGAGTGAACTTTAATAAATGGCTTGGATTGCTGAAATAAAACGTATAACAAACACTAATCTACTCATGAGAAACAGTATTAGCGGGATTAAGTCTGTTGCAGTCGAGATAAAAAGAGCTAAGTATCACAAGAACTTTAAGGTTATTCACTGAGTTATGAAGGAGAGCAGTTTACCTCTAAAACTCGTTATAATCATACTGCGGCCATGATAATTAAAAGAGAATGTCTTTGGCGTGTCGTATGAAAAACTTTCATCAGAACTTCTTTTCAGAACATCTGTGAAATTTAAATATTAAAAAAAAAAAATGAGCTCAGATGTCATTCAGAGAAAGTCTTTAAAAATCCTGTTTTAACATCATAGTATCAAATCTTTAACCGTTTCGTAGAAAACTTTCAAAAGGATAAACTTAGTGTCTCTCTCGCCAGTCAAAGTCAAACCGTTGATAATTAGCAGCGTCGATCGCTCAAGTAACTTTTCTCGCTTATGCGGTAATTGAATACATCTAAGAGCCGCACAGTAGTTTATATCTTGCGTTTTACTGAAATGCAAGCAGTTATATTTATCGAAAACGAATGTTGTTTTCTGAGACTAGAGAGGTTCTTCTCGTTAACTGCATTCAGCTTACGTGCGCTGACGCGACACTTTTGAATAAACCGCAAACGACATATTTTTCAGCTGCTATTTTCAGTTGGGTCGATTTGCACGAGTGAAATCAAAGATCTTTTTCACCGTTGCTATTAACCTCAAGCATAAACCTATCATTCAAAGTTGTAACTCTTCAGAGCGCAGTCAGTAAATTACTGCACCACGATTAGACAATAATTCAACGGGAGGCTGTCGTTGACCGCATTGTGCGGTACTTATGATCGTAGAAATTGCCAGAAATTAAAATTGAAATTACCTCTGCTCAAAGGATAAGATATACTCACGAGCCAATGATAGTTCCTCCAGTCTTCACTCCGTTGACAACCGAGTCAAACCAAATCCAAAATACAACTGGAACTAGTGTGTCACTGGTAACTAACATGACTGCTATTTTGTCAAAATGATATTTACAGATATTAACAATTGTGACGTTAATGACGAATTAACGAATAATTTTCCTCTACTAAAAGGAAACACAAAACAATTCGCTAATGACCCATAAACCAAAATTCTAAATATCAACTTCCGCTACAATGTTCGATTTCAGACATAAATGCTCTTTTAAAAAAAATTTCGGGGAGAAAAAGAAAAACGTTTTCTCTCAGGAGCGTGAGAAAACTGTTATGAATTTCCAACAAAAATAATGAACTAAAAGTCCCCTCCCAGTTGGTTTAGGGCAAACAAAACTTTTGCGTCAACGTCTTTGTGATTTAAATACGTTGAAAACAATCAGGGTGGCCCACAACAGCAATTAGGAACTATGCCCATCTAATCTCTAATTTTAGATCACTTAGTGAAGACTTCAACCCTGTTATTATAACGAGAAATGTTTGAGTGCTCAGCAATCAAAGTTCGAGGAAACGGTATAAGTGATTTAACGGCATTTTAATTTTTGTAAACAGCAGTTTCTATAACCGAGTGTCGATCGCGTACTGCGCGAGCGACATTTTCTCAAAGAAAACGATAATTTGCAAACCATAACACTACAATAAAGATTGCAAATTGTGCAGCAGAAAAAGGCAGTCACTTTCCGACAAGTAAAATGGTTCAGTTCTGACTATTTTTAATCCGACATGGTTCAATTCGGATATTTGAAAAAAAAGATTCATTTTCAACAAACACATCTTCATGGATCCAAAGAGATCTTAGATTAGGGTAGCAAATATTGTGCATCGCGCCGTTGTATAATTTACCCTTACGGACACTCCGTGCCAAGAACTGCATAATTTCTTCATGTCATATATTCAGTGCCCATGAGTTCGTGTTCATACTAGTTTGTGTCAAGCCGCGTATATATTCCAACCACCATGTTTTTTGTATCGTGCGTTTGTAAGAGATTTGTGGATTAAAACCAACTTTTTTTTTATTGGTAAACGTCTTTTTTCAGAAACGCGAGAGACGCGTGACTAACACACACAAAAAAAATAGTACGTGAGGCATTAAATCAGAACGTGACGCTCGTAAATTTAGGAGCGCGTGGGAAGTGTGATTTTTTTCGTAACAGACTCTCGGTCTAAAAACATTAACATAGCGGACGACAAAACGGAAAAAGGATCTGAGCACCAGCTTTGAGTAAGCACGCGCTCTTCAAATCCGTTTTAGCAATACCCATGATAATGTCTTGTGTTATGAAGAATCACAAGAAAAATTGGGAAACAAGAAAAAAATGTAATTAAGCAAGAAACAAATACACGAAATGTTGATGTTACATTTCCCAGTAAGCGCTATTTTGGATGCAATGACGAAATACGGATGCCATTGTTCTAATCAAACAAGAGCTTCTTGGTTTCTGGTAGTCCCAAAGCCGGATCATGCAGATAAATGAGAAAAACGGTATTACATCATATGATACAAAATAGCGGTGCGAAAAAGACTTCAAAAACAAAAAAAGATTTCAAAACAGCTGACATCTTTTTCGATTTCCTCCTTCACAAGAAAGACCTCATGCCCATCTTGCCAAGAAGTTGTAACTTTAAGCATTATTTCTGAAAATTTCGGACGCAAAAGGACTCACAATTAATGTCTGCACCGACTTGATAGATACAGGTTTTACTTTTCGTATCTATATCTATTTACGCCTTCAGAGGGTGATTATCTAGTTCAGTTTCGCACTTGAACCCGCTGTCAGTAATAACGGCCTCCTCTCTCAGCCACTATAACTAGCAAAAGCTTTAAGAGCAAACAAACAAACAAAAAAAAACAAGAAAAGTTACTACATGTAAACGTGTTTTTCATTGTTTTTCCCAAAGCACCTCGGCTTAATGGGGGGATTGCAATATTACAAATTTCGATCTCTCTTAGGCTCAGTGCGTGTTAGTTGTGCCGCCTCCCCCTCAGTTCTTACTGGCTGTTTCGGCGTTTCTTTAATTACCGAGGTCCTCCACAATTCAGGTTTAGCAGTCACCTTACTTGATCTTCTTGGCGCAATGCCTCGGCCTGAACTTTTCAACTCTTGTAATCTCATTTTTAAACTTATTTTGAACGTTGGCAGTCGAAAGCAATAAATAATTGGGTTGATCAAAGATTGTAATGCAAAAAGCAGCTGCATGCATTTAAAAGCCACAGCAGAAAATTGATAACATTTTTTGCACATTCTGGAGACTGACAGAAAACTGATAGGAATTCCCCAAGTGACCATAAACACTCCGGTTACTAGTAACAGAGTAAAAACCAAGTTTCTATCCTGTTTGGTGGTTGTTCTCTTCCTTCTGCGTCTAGCTTTAAACCAAATACACACATAGCAACCAATAGTTACTATACCTGCTACCAGTAATGCGATTAATAACACAGGGATAAAAGTTTTGGGCTTTTTGCTAAATGTACCCCGATTATACATCTCAAATGTGGCCACTCCAGCAGAAACAATCCAAACAGCCATGACGGCACATTTGTAAACATTAATGCTGATAACTTTGTGATGTATTGGCCAAACAACGGAATACATTCGATCCATGGCAATCGCAGTAACGCTGAAAAGACAAACCAATTTTGAAAAAGAGGTAAGAACTGTTGAGACGTTAAAGGAGATTAATGTTGGCTTGAATACGTAGTAAATAAATGTAGGTAATCCCAAGGCTCCATAACTGAGATCAGCGACAACAAGATTGATGACCATGATGTGTTTTCGACACTTGAGCGATGGAGTCTTTATGAAAGTGAACAGCGCCAAAGTGTTGACGACGATGATGAAGAAACTTAATATTCCATAAATTGAACACCAAACCTTCCACGATGACGATTCCAAATCAAGATTCTCCTCTGCTTCGTGTGAATCCATTTATGCTAATTCAAATTTTACTGTAAAGATGATAAAATCATACTGTTAGTATCAGAAAAGAGATATGCTAAACTGAATTGAATTTGACTTATATTTGCACATGACGAAATATATGACAAAAAATGTCGTCAAGCAAATCACCAGATTTCTCGAAAAGAACTTGTCACAAGTTTTGAATTGTTTCCTCCAAAATGAAATAAAAGCCTTAACAGCTTCCTGAATTCTGAGAAGTGGAACGTTAAAACTTGGATGCTAAAGAGAGAGGCTCCCTTCAACTCGATTATACAAGGCAGAACTGTACAAATGAAGAAAAGTCATCACTAGTATTGTCGAAAAACCTCAAGACTCAGTAATCATCAAGAAACAAACGATGCAATCCAGTGGGTGACGATATTTAATTTGATATATGATAAAACTAATCAGACCTTTGCTTCAGAAGAAAAGAAAATTTCCTGCGAGGATCAATAATCAACTTTCATATAAACCAACGTATTAAATAAACTTGTTTTTGGCTTCGAGAATAATACAGAATAACCATTGTTATGAGTATGGGCTCAAAACCAACAAATGAGACGAAGATCGCGGTCGACAAATTGCGCTATGCGATCACTGCGATCAAAGGACTGCAAAGGTGCGCGAGCTCTACTTCAAATGAAGCGAAGACATACTCACCACGACCCAAGTTTTAATGATTTATTCCTTTTTTTTCATTCCATCTCCGGCTGCGTCAAACTGAAAGCCGAGTTCTGCTGTAATTGCCTCTAAAATGTTGTTTACGAGTGACAATATGACTGTAATGTCAGATGAATATTAATTGACCTTTGCAGTAAGACTGAAACTGTTGAAAAAAATTATCCTCATTGAACTGAAAGCTAAGGCACAAGTAAATATCTTTCGCCCAGCAGCTAAATTCCGCTTTAAAACTTTTGCTTGTATTTTTTCGAACAAAGGCTATTGATTGAATTTTGCGAAAAATTTACATGAGTTTCCAAACAACATTAATGACTAAGCGTCCCAGAAGGCTACAAGCAAACAAAGGATTCTTTTCAACGTCTCAGTGTAATTATGAAACGATCAGGGCGGTTCATAAAAGTTCTAAAGAGCGTTCCAAACCACGATTTTACGCAAGCAGTGGGCCTCAGGTTTTCTTCATAAGATGGTCGATATAATAAAGTAATTTCGTTCCCAGTCTGTTAGTATTCGTCCCTCTTGACACTGTTCACAAACTTAAATGTTCAAATTAAAGGTCCTGCTAAAATAAGGATGGTTTAGGACGCGGTTTTGTTAAACAACTCCTAAACTTTGGTTCAATAAACTTCCCTTTATGTCGAAGATTCTACGTTATCACGTAGCCGTTTTGTAAGTTTACACTGTCGGTTTCAGTATCGTGTGTAGACCTGAATCAAATCATGACTTGAAGACAACAAAAATTGCGAGGTGCATTAGCAAACAGTAGACATTCTTTGGTTCACAATTAGAGCATTTTACTTCTGAAACTTCCATAGCCGGTTGCAAAGTATTATGTGAAATAAAAAAAGAACTCAGCTTGTTTTGAATTGAAAGCTCCCTCCCATGTCAATAGCAATAATAGAAAACAGCCAAATGAGATGAAAGTCCATGATAATATTTCTTCGAAATGCTTCCGATTGTCACCTGAATCAACACTTCTATCGATAGATAAATTAAAATGAGTTGTTGACATTATCTTTTTAACAAAGGTCTTCAGATTAAGAACATACGAAATTTCTAAATACGGTTTAGATATCGTCTACCTTGAAAAAAAAAGCTCATATACAATGAATTGAGAATTTTTTCCAGTTCCCGAGGCTCAAGTAGGGACAATATATATTGCGCGTGTTGCATAGCAACCTAATATTGGCCGAATGTTAGCCTACAAGAGCTCACCATAAAACAATGATTCCCTGTTCATCGGAGTGCGGACCTGAAATAGAGATTCGATTTCTCAGGGGAGAGAGGAGGACCCGTTAATTTTTTTGTGTGTGTCCACTTTAGTGAAATGATCGGTAACATCTTTCTTCGCTCCACTAGGATAACATCTTGCCCCGGTACCTAATCTTGATGCGATGAACTTCTGCTGACAGGCAGTTACGATCTAACACTTTTAAAAGACGGTCTAAGACATCTTTGTAAAAAAAAATGTTTACTTCAACATTATTTATTTGAAATCCTTCTTAATAACTATTAAGGTTAAATTGCTCAAGTTGTTTTTGTGCAGTCATTACAAAATTTGTAGTAAATGTTTTTTAATTTGACATACCTTGCAAAAATTGAGCGAAATTCCATTTTTCTTACAAAATAACTGAGTTTCGACAAGTTTAACTTTTCTCGAAAGGTACCATGGTGAAATCAAGAGTCGAAACCGATTTCCCTCTAAAGTAGCATAATAATCCATCTTATATAGATGCATGATGCTAGAAACCAGTTCAATTGGATGTATTTTGTACATTTAGTTTACGAGGGCTGAAGATAGCTTGAAAAATGGCTGATTCTTTGTTGTGTTAATAATTAATCCGGATTAAACAAATTTTCGCATTGGCTGATACAAAGAGCCGTCCACTTGCTTTCTGTTAAATTTTAACAGTTTAATAAGAACAGTTGCGATGCTATGATCAAATCACTAGTGATCTCTTCTTTTGATGGATTTCAACCAGAGGGTCCCCTTATAAATGGAAAATGAGGGTTATCACAAAAATGTCTATGTAAGACTTCTAGCCTCTATTTCCACAGCGATAGAGCCTTCCAAAGTCACTTTCATATCAATTACACTAAACCTTTGGCTGTTTTTGTAGTTCCTGAACCTTTTGGTCACCGGGACGAATTGAAGAGTTTTTGGGTGCCGTATTGCAACACGGATGGAAACACTTCACAAACACTCTTTTGATAACCGCTTTCAAACTGACTTTAAACAGAGGCAGTCGATAGCAATAAATGGCAGGGTTAACCAGACACTGAATTCCAAATACCAATACAAACCAGTCTAAGATTTGTATATTAGGCTGGATGCAGTCTATGCAATTCGGAATAACTGATAGATATAGTAAGGGAGGACACCACGTGACTAGGAAGGCACCACTGACCAGTAGTAGCGTGAGAGCCAACGAACGTTCCCGAATGGTTGAAGGATTGATCGCATGAAATCTTCGACGCTTGTAGGAGACCCAAATGAAGATGTAACACGAACCAATGACTAACACCACAGTAATAGTCAAAACAGGAGTAAATACAGAGGCAAGTGAAAGAAAGGTTATAATGTCAACGTTACGAAAAAGCACAACCAACCCGCTCACTGTTAATGCAGATGCACAAATCCAAATTGATGCGATGGTGATGTTGAAGACCAGCCTTGAGAGAGTTTTGTGCCGCAGAGGACATACAATGGCATGCATCCTTTCCACTGCGATGACACCGAGAGTAAAAAGTGAAGCTACTTTGCAGAACCTGCTCGCCATCACCCATACGTAAAACAAAGTCAACTGTGGTCGAATTAGATAAACTAGGTAAACTGGTATTCCAGTGACTCCGAACAAAGCGTCAGCCGCAGCGAGGTTCATGATCATTACATGCTTACGAGATCTGAGCGCTGCAGCTGAGAGAAACGTGTACAGTGTCAAGAGGTTTATGACAGTTGCTAAGGCACCCACAACAGCCAACGTCACAATCCAGGCAATTGTTTCAGCTTCTGTTTGATGATAATCCGCTGCATGAAACATTGTATCTAAAACCAGAGAACAGGTATACTATTATTTATCATCCCGGGCAAGATTAAATATTTTAATCGAGGCGGGAAGTCACCGGGACAGCGCTTCTGTGTCATTAGAACACTCGTAATTTTAGTTACATGAGCCTGCAACTCAAAACCACCGGAGTTTGATGTTCCCTTTTTATTATTTAATTGCATTCAGCATGTTGTCTCCGTAAAGGAAGCCTCCAGCTATGTTTTTAACTCGCGTTATTCAACAATTTTACCTGGCGGTGACTTCGTTTAAAAGTTACGGGATGTCAAGTACGGTTGACAACAAATCATAAAGTTACAAAACACAAAACGTTAATACAAAACTAGAGAAAAGTAGCAGTGGATTTAACGAGTTTATTATTCTTCTTTATTGATGTAATTTTTAACCTTACTGAAACCTAACTCTATGAAATGAAAACGAATGATTTGAATTATGATTTTGAATACAAATAAGAATAGGTTACACAACATTTTTGCACTGACACACTCCACAAGAGCAATTTATATTATTAAACAAAACATCTTCTAAAAGGAAAAACAGTTTTTTAGGGGGCTTTGAACCCTTTCTGCAATTTTTTGGGGGGATTTTTGTAATTTTCTTTTAATCTCGATATGCTGATTACAACCAAATAATTGACAACAGGGATGTCAAACCCACAAAAGTTATTGGGCAAAAATTAATTTAGGATTTCTTTTGCTGGATGTGCCGAGGGATGAAATTTATTTAAGTATTCTAAATTACATAAAAATCGAAGACTTCGTGTTCTAATTGGTTTAGAAATCCTTTCTATAATTTGTTACATATAATCAGCTGTTTGTGTTAGGTAATCATGAGCACAGCAGGTTCACTAAAATAAATGACCAAACTGCCACCATGCTCTTTGATTATGTTTCCGATCGAAGAGTAAATAATTGAAAAGAAAAAAATTATTTAAATTCTAAAAACTGGGAAAGATTTCTCCTCCCTTTTTCTTTGGTGAAACAAATTTATGCTTATTAGAGTATGTTCACATAAATGCCACTGATTTTACAGCCAAGGGTGAAAGTTGTTGGGATCCTTCCAGCTCAAGATTCTGTATTTTTAAAAGACAGTTTAGTTCACAATTATTATACGTATGTAATTTGATTTTACGTAGTGAAAACGTCCTACTTTCTCCCGGGTTATTGTGAAATTGCCCCGAATATCATCCTAAACAAACTCTTAACAAAAGTGAACCACACTGTTCGTTTTACCTTGATTTCTAGTGCTGTGTTCCGCCATCAATTTTTCTGAAATTTGTAAAAATAAAGACAGAAATTAATTCGATTTGGAAAAGAAGACTTCTCCAAGAAATAAATTTAGTGGGTTTCAAAAGTTTGGTGCCGTCTGATGTGTCGCGGAGCCTTTGGGTAAAATGGAGTTGGTGGACTTATCACATTGAGACAAGTCTTCGAGCTCCCAACAGCAACGGGCATAAGAGTGGGAAGATTTTTCTCGAGAAGAGAGAGGATGTGGACCAATTTTGTCAAACAGCTTGAATCAATTGAATATTTTTTCCCAAGGTGAAATCTTAAAAGGCAAGTGTCTATAGCAACTGTCAAAATATAGCTCATATCAAAACACGCACACAAAAGCTGGTAAATACAGATTGATCTATGTTTTAACAAACCTACAGAATTCGCGTTCCAATATGCCAAATAAGTCTCACATCATTTAAAAACAAAAAAATTTCCGTGAAATAAAAATGTTTTATGGATGGAGGAAAACCTAATTTAAAGATGCAGCAACAAGATTCCAAGCCATCTATTTCAGATTAAACCAGAATGAAAACCCTATGTTAATAATGACATCTAATATCAGTCTAACAGCACATAAAGGTAAAAATAAACTGATTAATTTTTAACTGTCTCCGAATTGCACTAAATGAAATTTAACCTTATAAGGACTTAAATATTTTTCTTGACATTAACTTGTTTTAGTACTTAAATGCCTTAAACCCTAAGAGTGACTTGCATATGATTCCTCCTTACAGGAAGGAATTCTGCTGAATCATTCATTAAAATCATTGATCGTCAAGTAAGGAAGCTCTTGATTGTTATTCTCCTTGTCAACAGTCCGGGCCATAACCATTTCTGGATACTTGATGACGTCACCAACATGGATGTCATAGTGGGACATCGAGGAAACTCAGTCATTACTTTATTCGAGCCCTAGCGACTTAGTTCCCGACCCATATCCCATGAAACCTTGCAAAATTACAGAAGACAAGCAAATACACACAACAAGCAAAGAACTAATGGTGGTTGCGATGACGAGAAGGAAAAATTCAGATGAAAAGTCGGGTGGAGGTCCATGTTGCGAAGGGCTCGATCGAGGAATAACCAATACTAAAGGAGACGTTCTAGAGAAGAGCATGGAGAATGTGGACAGTAATGTTAGGATGTAAAGGATTAAACGAAGGGGCATTAATAATGGGCATAAATAATTTCTCACATAACACGAAGTAATCGTGTAACACAAAGAGTCTCCATGTGGTTAATAATTTAAGGCGTAAAAACTGAAAAATTTCAACCATCAGTCGTACAAGCAATCGCCTCATTGAGAGCCTGGTGTAAGAATAGCATGGACAGTTATTCAACCTTTTGATTCATAGAGACCAAAATATGATAAATAAACACATTTTCAGAAATAAGGTGATGAGAGGAGAGTGAAAAATCAATCGAGGATGCTGTTTGATTCAAACCACAAAATCTCAAAGCAAGAATTATAAGACATGTTTAGCGGACAGTGCAGAGAATTCATCTTTCTGTCCCTTGTGTGAAAAGGTAATTTTTTCACTTCTTGCTGACGTTACACAACATGATGGAATCGACCACAACCGGCTCAAAATCACTTAGTTAACGACGTTAAGCACTTCAAATACATAAAACTAGGGCAGGTTAAGCTCGTTTCACATAGAATAAGACAAATTTTAACCAGGACTACAAAGTGGCGACATCCAGTGTCTTACGTGAAGTCGAACGGGCCAAACCTTCCCCTTTCAATCAGAAAACATATATGAACTGTTATCATCCACAAAGATGTTTTTTCATCAGGTAGAGAGGTTTCACCCACGCAATTCTGAGTAAGTGATGCGTACAGGTTCAGTTTCTGTAGCGCTCTTTTCCGATGTTAATCTCGTAATAATGATTGTTTATCCCAGAAATGGGACAGAATGCTTAGATTTGTGTGTCAAAAGAAGATTAAGATCCGCCTAAAACGCATCTTCGTTTATAGTATGAAACTCCTAAAGTATTAGTAGGTTGATACATTTTGTGCAGTGAGGCGAATTTAAGCCGCTGGGAATTAGGGAAATTAATGAAAACTAAGAAAGGCAAAGATATACTCACAAACCCATTCACGAAAGCGATTTTTTCCGTATTTGTTCCTTCACTCTTTCAGTATTCACTCCTGAACATCTGACCATAAACAACTGAGTCTAAACTACTACACGTACTTAAAGATTTTTTTAAACAATGTTTTCAACTAAAAACAACTATAGCGTTAATGACGTATTGATGAGTATTTGAATGACTTATTCAACTTATTTGAACTTCAAAAGAAGGGATTCGCAAACAAACATTCAATTAAAGCTTAACAAACAAGTCTAATGCAGTTGTTTGGACAGAAGTTTTCGCTTGCATGAAAATACCGAAACCTCTTCAGTCGAATATTAAGAGATCTTTTACGAAATCAGTGTAAACAAAAGTACCGATTGCACCTCCCAAAGGGTTCGGAGCCAACAAAAGTTCCTGAAAAACGTCTTTGTAATTAAAAAACAATCGGGGCGGTTGATGTCACTAAAAACGAAGACTCTTTAAGATTATTCAAAGTGCGTGAGATAATTGCGCATTCAATCGTCGGTTTCAAAACAGCGGTAGCTATTTATGACCATGAACCGTCGACGGACTATCACAACAGAATTGCGTCACGCTATAACTTAGGATTCAATGATTTAGAATAGCGCTTCATTTGTGCAACACACCTTTTTTTCAGTATGATGTAGGCTGCACTACATGTCTATATGACGTATGAGGATGCATGGGCCGACTACAGTCAGATCATATTTTTTAATTTTACCAGCACACTATAGACTGAAAACTACTGTTCCCTGTTAGGCCGACGTCACCGTTTAAAAGCAATGAAGATAAGTTGTGTATATGAATATGTTGTTGACTGCCGCTTACAAAGGTTAACAACCTTCTTATAGAAGAAAATGGTTGTTCTTTCGATTTAGATACTTTTTTACCGGTGTCAAGTGAGGCTCATAGATGCTGATTTTTACTTACATAAAGAACAGTTTGGTCCTCCAATCAACTCTCGTGATTACTCATCCGACTTAAAACAGTTTACTTACGAAGGAATCTAAACATAGGATGATATAAAAGTGTCCATGAGACCTATAAAAATTTATTTGACAAAACCCTCGTGAGTTACCACGGATAGATGTTTTGTTTACAAACCATGCAGTGGGAAATTAGATATATATGGTCCATTAAAAGGTATGGCAGATCCATTTAAACCCAGAAGTTAATTTCCTTCAAGACCTTCGGCTGAACAATGCTTTGTCCCACTATTGTGGGATGAGGAAAAAGTTTGAGTCCCTATGAGGAAACGAACTTCAAGACTCCGAGCTCCAAGATTCTATTTCAGTGAGCCACCGAGACATTACCGTTAGCTGATCCGGCATCACAACTTCTACCGACAGAATTACCCGTTCGCCGTGATAATAAGAGAATATTAATATATGCATCAACCCAGCGGTACCAGTTGATACCGCTGATTCATTGGAACAGAGACAATCTCTGCAATAAAATGTTAATTTTTCATTTCTGCATTTTAGCAACCTCTAACATGTTGCTGAGCAGATTTAATCACGTAACGGTAGTTTTGATGTTAAAAAGGCATATTCAAGCTGAATACTGTACTGGAGCGTTGACCATTAGCTGTGAACCATT